TAGATTCCCTTAAAACATGAAGCAAGATAACCATGCCATGATGTCTAGAATCCCTTAAAACATGAAGCAAGATAATCATGCCATGATGTTGAGAGATCCTTAAAACACGTAACAAGATTACCATGCCATGATGTCTAGAATCCCTTAAAACACGTAACAAGATTACCATGCCATGATGTCTAGAGACCCTTAAAACATGAAGCAAGATTACCATGCCATGATGTCTAGAGACCCTTAAAACATGAAGCAAGATTACCATGCCATGATGTCTAGAATCCCTTAAAACACGTAACAAGATTACCATGCCATGATGTCTAGAATCCCTTAAAACATGAAGCAAGATAATCATGCCATGATGTCTAGAATCCCTTAAAACATGAAGCAAGATAACCATGCCATGATGTCTAGAATCCCTTAAAACATGAAGCAAGATAATCATGCCATGATGTCTAGAATCCCTTAAAACATGAAGCAAGATAACCATGCCATGATGTTGAGAGATCCTTAAAACACGTAACAAGATTACCATGCCATGATGTCTAGAGATCCTTAAAACATGAAGCAAGATAACCATGCCATGATGTCTAGAGATCCTTAAAACACGTAACAAGATTACCATGCCATGATGTCTAGAGATCCTTAAAACATGAAGCAAGATAACCATGCCATGATGTCTAAAGACCCTTAAAACACGTAACAAGATTACCATGCCATGATGTCTAGAGACCCTTAAAACATGAAGCAAGATAACCATGCCATGATGTCTAGAGACCCTTAAAACATGAAGCAAGATAACCATGCCATGATGTCTAGAGACCCTTAAAACACGTAACAAGATAACCATGCCATGATGTCTAGAGACCCTTAAAACATGAAGCGAGATAACCATGCCATGATGTTGAGAGACAAGGTAAGATGCTTATCATCATAGTTATGATAATCATGAATAATTGTGATAGTTTAGCAATTTTCACAATTGTTTTATCTAATTTTTGCATCCTTAGCTTTTACTAATTTGTAATGTTATTTATCTTTAAAGGCAGTTTTTTCCTGCACTTCATATTCTATAGAATTTACATTATATTCAAAGCTAATACATGAAGCTCGTTTAATTTCACATTACAATTTATTTGTGATTTTACCCTAATAATTGTCCAGAGATTTTGGCGAAGAAAACTTGTGGAGATGAAAAAAAAAAAAAAAAAAATTGTCACAAAAACAGCATTTAACAGAGAAGTCTTTTCCAGACGTGATTCTACTACTTCTGTCTCTGTGTTGGTGAAGGTATTAAAGAGACATTTAACAATTAGATTCTATTGAAATAAATATTCATCTGCAGAAAAAAAACTTCACAAGAAATTAATGTATTCCATGAAATAAATGTATTTTATTCGCATAAATACGACTTGTACAATCATACAATACATTTCTTTATGTACATTTTATACCACTGCTCTGAAAAAAGGTGGGTAAAATAAAATATGAATGTATAGAACTAACCCACCCACATGGAAACAAATTAACTTACTATCTACTTCTGATGTAGTCAAGAACAAGTTATATCATAATTATGTACCCTTTTTTATCAAACATATTAAAACTGTATACCACCCCACCAACATAGAACAATATGGTCAGGTCTCAAAGTAATTCAAAAAGGCTGTCAATAGGATCAATGAGAATGGATTATATTGAGACACTGAAACAGAAGGAAAGACAACATTTACACTGATATTAAGGGTGACATAGAATGTACTTTACACCATATTTGGTTCATGCTGTGAAGTTCCAGACTATTCAGATATATTCAGTTTAATATTCCTATATAAACTGTTCATAGTATCAATCAGAGCAAACAAGTCCTTGGAAACTGGTAAAAGGGAAAAAGAGGGTTTGGAGACAAAATTATAAATGTCAAATATTTACCATAAATTGGGTAACAGCTGTCTTCTTCATTTGAACCCACTTTGTCACATATTGATGTTAACCAGATTACGTGGTGTAACTCATTATACAATACAAATGCTTACACAAGACAATAGAACAGGGATTAGCTGACCCTTGATTATGATAACTTTGAAAACTTGGCAGTGTTCTCCAATAGCTTATCCATGACCAGTAATGCAAATGACCCGTTATATGCCCGCTTCATGATGTTTTCCATTTTGTTTTGGTGTCTCCATAATCCACATGATCTTTCATGAGTTTCCTCGGACTAAATTCAGTTTATGTAAAAAGAGAATAACATTAAGGGTATTTTCATAATTCAAAAGAGAATGTTGTTTATTTTCCCAATTTATTCAGGCACATGCTGCAAAAAAAAATGATCAGGTAAAAGAGTGCATTCCCTTTGTGGCACTAAAGTGGTACCTTTTGAATATTTTAAGGGTTTAACATGAAATAATATATAAGAATGAAACTGAAACTAAGAAATAAAAAGAACACATGATCTCAACTACCTTCCCTTACCTGCATATACATAAACAACACATTAACTACAGACTTTGTGTAAACATAAAAACCTTTGTAAATAATACATCTGATACATATGTATAAAGTACCTCATATAAAGTTTCCCCCTTCGTGTAAAAAACAAACAATACCTGGTGCTGATTAATTCTACAGAAATACACAACAATTCAGAGGATCTTAAACCAACATTTCTCAAATTAACATTCACAGAAATAAAAAAAATTACCAGTAAGGCAATTAATCACACAAACACTTTTTGATCTGAGCATGGTTTCCTCACATCAACATCAACACAAAAATTCCACAGAAGTAGATGTGTCACCTGCCCAGCAAGGTTTCTGGAGATGTGTTTTATGGAACAATAGCCATAGATATTCATTATATTTATTTCATTTACATTATTTGTCCATTTGTTTGAGATGTGATGAGTAAAATTGCAGATTAGATATATAGTGTCGAAGGGAAATGAATCCCGAGGATAGATCTGTATATCACAATTATGCACAAAATTAGAATTGCCTTACAAAGCAAATACTGATTTGCTCCAAATATGGCAGAAACAGGGACATCACACCTGAAAAACAATCTCAAAGAAGTCTCTTTGGTTAAGAAGTATTGTATGAAGTTTGAGTCGAATTATCCAAAGAAAACTTGACATCACACAAAACCAATTTTATCTTTACAACTACAAAGACCTTGACCTTTGACCTTTTGACTCGAAAAGCAATCCCAAGGAAGTACCTTAAGTAAGGTTATTGTACAAAAATAAATTTTCTATTTATAGTAACAGTGATCTTAGTAAGGCAGTGCTGCATGAAGTTTGAGTGTAATTGTCCAAAGAAAACTTAAGTTATCACATGAAAACCAATCACTGTATGAAGTTTGAGCTTGATTGGACAAAGTGAACTCAAGTGATCTTATTTATAGTAATAGTGACCTTGACCTTTGACCTTCGGACTTGAAAAGCAATCCCAAGTAACAACTTTTGGTAAGGAAGCATGTTGCGAAGTTTGAGCTTGATCAGCTAAATTGAAATTATCGTGAAAAAACTTTTGTGTGGATAACGGCACTGCCGCCAAGAAAGTAATGCCTAAATATCACCTTTGGCAGGCAGGTGACACAATAAATAGCATTTCTCACTATCATCAGATTGACATATGCATTAATCTGTTAAAAACCCTGTACTCTATATAAGAAAATACTATTTAAACATGCAATTCCACATGCCCTCTGAAAAAACAACATATCACAAATACATGACATATGAAATCATGGATGGAAACTTGTTTATCATCACAATAATATTCTTAAGCATCAACAACAGAGCACATGAGGTCAAAAAACTTACCTTCAGACCTCTTATATATAGATATAGCCTTTCAAAATAAGGCACACAAAGCCGTTTTAAGTTTCAAACATAGACCATATCACATTTCTAATAATGAAAATTAAAGCTGTATATAATATGCTGGTCTAATTTAAAACAAATGATATTGTTAGGATGTTAATGTAGTAACATATTTGACATTTATAGTGATTAGATCCTAAAGACACAAATATACGCGAAGGAAAAGCCCGTGGAGATAACTCTGCTGATAAATAATGTGTCTATATATTTTCTAAAATATATAAATTCATGGATTAATTAGTTTAAATTATTATACAAAATTTTCTAATATTATCTTCTCAACATAAAATATATTTTTCAAAAAAAAAAAAAAAAAAAAAAATAATTAATGATACCATTGAAAGAGGTTTTACAATCATGATACATTTCATATTTCATACTAAACAGATTATCTTGTACAACAAAATCAGTCAGTGTACACTTCAGCATGTTCACAATCGTTGTGAAGGTGTAAAAATAGTCCTCATAAAATATATGTCAAAATTGTTCATCACTGTCCTTACCTATAGCACAATAAAATACTGGGCACATACAACGAACTGATTTGGTAGTGGAGTAGAAGTATTAAAGGCACTAGATAATTAATGTAAAATAATGTATCCGTTCTTGAAATAAAACTTAATTGAGTTTGACAATGGAATGTCATTAAGTCCTCTATTCTAAATATTTTCAATTGATAAAATTTTTTAAAAATTCTTCTAAAAAAGAACTTTGATACAGTATACATGTAATAAAAATATTAGTGGTCTATGACTAAGTAAATCAATACATGACTTTATTATCATAAAAGATAACTGAAATTATAATAATTTTGAATGTTTTACGAATCTTTCAGGTGTTAATTATATGAGCCAGAATTGATTGAAATCCATTTTTCAGAGAATGTTGATTTGGAAGAGTTTCAGTCAGGGTCATAGATCCATAAACAGTAAATAGGTATTTTATTATTTTGTAAGAGACTAAATTCTGATAAATTTATTCATTTCACCTCTTATATTCTCCACAAATAAACACATGGGCACTCAATTTCTGACTGAAAAATTATAGACTGATTATACAATAGTAAACATGATTACTAAGAATTGCTGATTAAGCAGTAATCTGACCATGGTGTCTGCTGTTATGTTTCATCCTTGTTTTCCTCGTTTGCTTTTTCATCTGACACCTCCTCCTCTACCTTGCCATCCACAGAGAGTTGACCTGCTGCCTCTTGTTGATCACTGTTGTCAACACCTTCCTCCTGAACCACATCCTTTTCTTTATTGTCTTCTTTTTTCGTGTCATCATCTTTCTCATCAACTTTCTGATCCAACCTCTCTTTAAACTCTTCTTCCTCTGATTTCCTTATTTTCCAATTTTCATTTTCTTCATCAACTTTTTCATCTTCATTTTTGTCATCCTTGTTATCATCATCCACAGCAACCACATTGTTATCAGTATTTACAACGTCCTCTGGATTTTGTCGCCCATCTGCTCTGTCAGGTTTGTCAAATTCATCATCTACTGTGTCCTCCACATTTCCATCCCCACCTGCATTTTTAACCGATGCACTGTCATTCACACCTGCCGTGATCTGATCTTCGTGGAAGGACTTTTTACGAATTAACTCGCCTTTTACACTTAAATCTTCATCTCGCTCTCCATCATTGTCCCAGCCATGGAGAGGACTCTTCCCTCTAGCTATTTCATTATCCTGAAATTTGTGTGATTATGATATAAATTTCAAACTTTATCTTGCTAAAATTTTGATTTAAAATTATCGTTTTATCATTATCAAACTGTCATTTTTCAATTTTTTTTTTTTCAATTTTTTTCCCATTTATTTTTTATTTATTTTTTCCAATTTAAAGAGTTTGTAAGATGTCATTTTTTTTTGGAAAGTGTGAAATTTACAAATATTTAAAATATACCAATTAACTGAACATGTACAAATCCTTTTTAGGATAAAAAATCAATATGCCAACAAAATAAAATAGCACCTGGGTAAGTTTTTGGCTTTAGTTAATGATAAAAAACATTCTATCTGAAAGAAACTTACCATTTTCCTAGTTGTCATAATATTTTCTGAAATACAACAAGAACAATGAATGAACACTCCAAAATCTTCAATATGTAAATCATTGCAAACTGACTACATATATACAGTGTATATTTAATGACATTAACAAACCTTGGCTGGCAAAATTTTGAGCAAAAATTGTAAACCCTGAACAGGTCTGAATGCTTAGTAGCAGCAAGATTTGATTCATCTTTGTGGAGAATTCAATCCTGTTTTCTGCTTTACATATATGTATCACTATTGCTGAGTGACTTGAAAGATTTGGGTGTCAAAGTTTGTGTTAGATCTCGAGAGAAATCACAATCAGGGGAGAGTGGCTTTAAATCTTATTAGTCAATTTTTTGTTGTTTTGTTTGTTTTTGTTTGTTTTTGTTTGAAATCAAAGCAGCGTTTATCAGTTAACAGTCTCCAATGGTATTAAATCTTAAACATACCGAGACTTTTGGCTCTCTCTGATTTCTCTGCAGCTTGATCCACAGAGACCTGTAAAAGATATAAAAACATTGTAATAACCTGCCCATTATGACTGGTTTATAATCAATTTGCTTTGTACTTTTTACAGTGTAACTTAAATGATATATCACATTACAGACTTGGACATCTTCCAACCATACTTTTAGATAACACGGAATAAACATGGTACAACCCCAAGTACTTGTCATTAAGGTACAAATCCTGGTACTAGTAAGGTAATACCCCAGTACTGTTGTTAGCGGTGAAAGGCATGACAATATATATATTCTAAGGGAGGTAATTCAATTGATAATTATGTATATTGCCAATTATTATCCTATCTGAGGCAGGTTCAACCCAGCCTATGAATCCTAGTTAGAGCTCTACCCCAGTTTTATTTAATTACATAGAAAGTGAAGCACTTACCTTAGATTTGGCACTGTTGAGGCCTCGGTGACTGGACATGCGTGATGATGGGCCACTGTACAGGGGAGGTAGAAAGTAGGGAAGTTGGGGTGGCAGAATATGACACATTTTCATGAATTTAAGTTTCATTTCAGTGCAAAATATTTATAAGAAAATATTTTTGTAAATTTCAAATTTTGAAAATGCAAAATGTGTCATATTATAGGGTCAGAAATAGAAAAAAGAAAAGAAAAAAGAAAAATTAAGTAAATATCTGTTCATATCAAAAATGCATACAATTTAACAACAATATATTGATATATGACAGCATCTCCAAACTTTGGAGATGCATTGTTCATATTAAGTATGTTTCTGTATATCTCTAGAGAACTATTTGTAAAAGGTCGAATGAGGATACCGTCAGTGTAGGATTGGGATAGAAGGAAAGAAATTTATTAATCAATTAGAAATTAACCAGTGTAATCTCTGATGTGGTGACACTCAATACAAAGGAGAATGAAAATACAATTTGTATCTAATTATACAAGTAAATCTATTATCTATAGGTGGTGCATCATCCTACTAAGAGAATTTATACAACCTAAATCTGAGACCTAGTGGGATTCAACAGACTATGACATTGACAAGGGTGTTAAGTCCGGACAACTTTCGCTGTAACAAACAGAACTATGAGATAGAGTTTGATGCGCATTGAATGACTGACTGAGAGTGTATTCTACAATACATTTTAGTTTGTTAGTGTCAGTATAGAAAACCACCAATAACAGAGACAAACATTAAGGTCTAAATAACAAAAAAAAAACCACATCAGGTGTTATGATAATTTCTCAACAGCTTAAAGAAGAAACATTATTTAGTTTCTTTGCATATGGAAAACTTTCAACAAAACATAAAGTTATGCCAAGAAAATCTACGGATTTGCCTATTTTAAAATAAACAGTTCTGAAATCTTAAAACATATATATACATGTACTATACAATTTTCTGAAAGAAATTGTATTTTACGAGCTATGGCATCAGGCGCTGAAATAAGGACTAAGTAATACATGTTTTACATGATGCAGACACATACTGTTACAGTAAAAGTGAAATTCCTCATCTTAGTTTTAACAAATGGTTACATAAAAAAATGTTTTGAATCTTCAGTAAAATGTTTGTACATCAAAAATATTCTGCAAACCACATGGCTTATTTATATCACATACAGGTATTGCACTATACATTGAGTGTTTTACTACATGTCCAGGGAGATTCCTGGAAAGGCAGTGTTAGGTCAAAAAATCATCTACAAGCTTAAAGAATAGTTCCAAATGCAGATCTTCAAAAAGGTAAAAAAAAATAAAAAAGCTTGAAACATTCCTGAATGAAGGCCTATGATAATTAACTTTATATAAAAAACTCCAAATACTTGTAAAGGAGGACCTGTGTCAGGATCAAACCTCCAACAAAATTTAACAATGATATAAGGAATTAAGGCCCGAAGTTAAAATTCTAAAGTTATGAAGGAATGATTTTTTTCTGGTACATATCTGGTGGTACATGTCTGATACATTTCTGGTGGTACATGTCTGATACATATCTGGTGGTACATGTCTGATACATATCTGGTGGTATATATCTGGTGGTACATGTCTGATACATATCTGGTGGTACATGTCTGATACATATCTGGTGGTACATGTCTGATACATATCTGGTGGTACATGTCTGATACATATCTGGTGGTACATGTCTGGTACATGTCTGATACATATCTAGTGGTACATGTCTGATACATATCTGGTGGTACATGTCTGGTACATGTCTGATACATATCTAGTGGTACATGTCTGATACATGTTGGTGGTACATGTCTGATACATATCTAGTGGTACATGTCTGATACATATCTGGTGGTACATGTCTGATACATGTTGGTGGTACATGTCTGATAAATGTCTAGTGGTACATGTCTGATGGTACATGTCTGATACATATCTGGTGGTACATGTCTGGTGGTACATGTCTGGTGGTACATGTCTGATACATATCTGGTGGTATATATCTGGTGGTACATGTCTGATACGTATCTGGTGGTACATGTCTGATACATATCTGGTGGTACATGTCTGGTGGTACATGTCTGATACATATCTGGTGGTACATGTCTGATACATATCTGGTGGTACATGTCTGGTGGTACATGTCTGATACATATCTGGTGATACATGACTGGTGGTACATGTCTGGTGGTACATGTCTGATACATATCTGGTACATGTCTGGTGGTACATGTCTGATACATATCTGGTGGTACATGTCTGGTGGTACATGTCTGATACATATCTGGTGGTACATGTCTGATATATATCTAGTGGTACATGTCTGATACATATCTAGTGGTACATCTGATACATATCTGGTGGTACATGTCTGGTGGTACATGTCTGATACATGTCTGGTGGTACATGTCTGGTACATATCTGGTGGTACATGTCTGATACATGTCTGGTGGTACATGTCTGGTACATATCTGGTGGTACATGTCTGATACATGTCTGGTGGTACATGTCTGATACATATCTGGTGGTACATGTCTGATACATATCTGGTGGTACATGTCTGATACATATCCGGTGATACATGACTGGTGGTACATGTCTGATACATATCTGGTACATGTCTGGTGGTACATGTCTGATACATATCTGGTGGTACATGTCTGGTGGTACATGTCTGATACATATCTGGTGGTATATATCTGGTGGTACATGTCTGATACATATCTGGTGGTACATGTCTGATACATATCTAGTGGTACATGTCTGATACATATCTGGTGTTACATGTCTGATACATATCTGGTGGTACATGTCTGGTGGTACATATCTGGTGGTACATGTCTGGTGGTACATGTCTGATACATATCTGGTGGTACATGTCTGGAACATATCTGGTGGTACATGTCTGATACATATCTGGTGGTACATGTCTGATACACGTCTGGTGGTACATGTCTGATACATATCTGGTGGTACATGTCTGATGGTACATATCTGGTGGTACATGTCTGATACATGTCTGGTGGTACATGTCTGGTGGTACATATCTGGTGGTACATGTCTGATACATGTCTGGTGGTACATGTCTGATACATATCTAGTGGTACGTCTGATACATATCTGGTGGTACATGTCTGATACATGTCTGGTGGTACATGTCTGGTACATATCTGGTGGTACATGTCTGATACATGTCTGGTGGTACATGTCTGGTACATATCTGGTGGTACATGTCTGATACATGTCTGGTGGTACATGTCTGGTACATATCTGGTGGTACATGTCTGATACATGTCTGGTGGTACATGTCTGATACATATCTGGTGGTACATGTCTGATACATGACTGGTGGTACATGTCTGATGTTACATGTCTGGTGGTACATGTCTGGTACATATATGGTGGTACATGTCTGGTGGTACATGTCTGGAACATATCTGGTGGTACATGTCTGATACATGTCTGGTGGTACATGTCTGATGTTACATGTCTGGTGGTACATGTCTGGTACATATATGGTGGTACATGTCTGGTGGTACATGTCTGATACATATCTGGTGGTACATGTCTGGTGGTACATGTCTGGAACATATCTGGTGGTACATGTCTGGAACATATCTGGTACATATCTGGTGGTACATGTCTGGAACATATCAGTTACATGTCTGGAACATATCTGGTGGTACATGTCTGATACATGTCTGGTGGTACATGTCTGATGTTACATGTCTGGTGGTACATGTCTGGTACATATATGGTGGTACATGTCTGGTGGTACATGTCTGATACATATCTGGTGGTACATGTCTGGTGGTACATGTCTGGAACATATCTGGTGGTACATGTCTGGAACATATCTGGTACATATCTGGTGGTACATGTCTGGAACATATCAGTTACATGTCTGGAACATATCTGGTGGTACATGTCTGATACATGACTGGTGGTACATGTCTGATACATATCTGGTGGTACATGTCTGGTGGTACATGTCTGATACATGACTGGTGGTACATGTCTGATACATGTCTGGTGGTACATGTCTGATGTTACATATCTGGTGGTACATGTCTGGTGGTACATGTCTGATACATATCTGGTGGTACATGTCTGGTGGTACATGTCTGGAACATATCTGGTGGTACATGTCTGGAACATATCTGGTACATATCTGGTGGTACATGTCTGGAACATATCAGTTACATGTCTGGAACATATCTGGTGGTACATGTCTGATACATGACTGGTGGTACATGTCTGATACATATCTGGTGGTACATATCTGGTGGTACATGTCTGGTGGTACATATCTGGTGGTACATGTCTGATACATGATTAGTGGTACATGGACTTTTTAAAGTTTACCCACAGAGATGACTTTAAATGGAAGCTATTTACACACATGTAGACAACAGCTATATATGTGGTAAGAAAAGAAACAAATGAATATCACAATCACAAAACCAAACAATATTTACACTACATTACAAGAAATCTGGTTATAATGTTGTAAGCTGGAGCATGTTGAGGGAGTGAGATCTGAGTGAGGGATGACTGACTGCGGACAGACAGTATCGGGAAAAGATGATCAGCTCTACCACTAATTGTCAATAACATAACTCATCAGATTCACTACCTATTTTGGAAATAGCAGTACAAATTTTTGAACAATATTTCATTCCTTGAAAAATAGCAATGGAAACGGCATCAATCATTAATGAGGTTATCTCCCTTTGATAATATTTTGTATACATGTAGATTATAAAATTATCTCACTTTGATTAAATGAACCAGAATGAGTTATGTAAAAGGCAATTTGTCTTTTTAAGGAACCATAATACGATTTACTACGCTAAAAAAGGGAAGAGAAAAAATTGGAAAGTATGAGATAGACCCTGTTCCATGCAATATTTACTGAATTAATCTATAAATAGCTTGTGGTTTGAATTTATTAATTGCAGTTTTGTCTACACATTTAATTGAGAAATTAATGGGGAATATGTTTAAGTTAGTACATTTCATGTGGTAAATATGTACTACAATATGTGAACTACATTGATCTACAGCCCTCAAGTGTCGCAGTGTTTTGTATACTAATGGAAGCTGGAAGACCTCACGAAATGTTGGACTAATCAATGTAACAGTTATTATATATGACAATGAAAATTAAGGTCAGCAAAAACATAACTACTTACCAAGATGGCATTTTAACAACCCTAAGGGTGGAAAGTGATAGTATCATGATGAAACGCCCACTTAAACAACTCTATATTAACTTTCACTCATTAAAAAGTCATCACAATAATGAATTCCCAATTTTAGCTTGAATTTAATAACATCAAAAGTGGAAAAGATTATAACATATCACAGGAGATATTAAATACCTCAAAAGATAAAGTTACAAATTTTATTGAAGCAAAAAATATATTTGAAAACATTTCTTTAAGTTTGGAGAACACATTCTGGCAGAATATATGTTAACCAGAGATATGAATATATCAAAACATCTATTTGGTACATCTCTGTGATAATGTGTAAACATATTATCAGTCTTTGTCACAGAATCTAGCAGCATAAATTAACATATAATCAGAACTTTGATAAGAAAGGATTGCTATTATTTTCTATAACAAATAATTTATTTAAAATTAAAAAAAAATGTACAAATGCATCAAAAACAAAGTTGATAAATCTGAACAGTATCAGAAAAATGTTTAAAGAACAGTTGTGAGAGTTATCAATCACATTGATCCAAACTTTCTAATGCTGAAACTATACTACATATCAATAACAAATTATTGAACGCCAATACGAAATAAGTCTCTACAGCATTGACCCAACATCAATGGTCAAAGAGGTTCGGAACCCAAATACTTCACATCAATAGGATGGAACTTTTATGAAGATAGGTGATTGTGTGCCATTGATTTTAAATGATAATCCCCCTCCAAGAGATTTACGACAATCACATTCTACAGGCTCTGTGGTTTGTGACATCTTTAACCTTGCACTGGGTCTTCTCCTGGGAAATTTCTGCATCAAGTTGTCCAGTTTGAGGGTGCTGGAGTCATTGCTACGTGCACTTTTAGGAAGAGGTGCTGAGTGGGAGATGTTCTTATTGTGTTGACTGTGGACCTTTGGGTTACCAGAAACTCTTCTATTATTACGAATTCTTTGGTTCTTCAGTGGCGTGTTGAAAATCCAATCTTCATCTGTAGTACGCACTTTCTTTTTCTGGGGGTAACTTTCGAGAAGTTTCACCATACAGTCTCCCAAGGCTTGCATTTCACCATGAGATAAGATGTCTATAATGTTGATAGGTCCATCCTGAACTTGTAGATGTTTAATATCTACCTTACTTATTGGTCTGGAGCTGTCCATCTCTGAGCAGACCTCTGGCTCTCCATTGGCCACTTCAATGTCCTCCTCCTGCCAGTCGTCATCCTGGATACCAGATTCCTCACTGACTGACTTGGGAACTGGCTTGCTTTGGCTGTGGTTACACATTTGACAACTAGACATAGGGCGTGGGGTTGAAGACATGACAGGGGATGAACCTGGAGGATTGGACAGGGGATGGACATCCTCATTGGACTGAGATGGCGAGGAGTTACGTACAGATTCCAGGTAGTTGTCCTCAAAGTTCACACTGGGTCGTATGATCTTCCTGAACAGGTAAAGGAAAGACAGACAAAGGGAAAGAAAATATTAAGAAAAAGACAGAGGGAAGGAAATGTCAGGAAATTTTATGAAGCATGAAAATGACAGACAAATGCAAAGAAAAATAAGACATAAGAGAGAAGACATCCAACTACAATAGTGAAATAATTACAGAAGAAATTAAAGGAGATCATTATAAATATTACTTTTGAAAGAAAATACAAAAGTGAGATGAAAATAAGAAATTGAAAGAAATAAAGATGAATAAGAAATAAATTGTTGAAGTTTTCACTCCCAACATTATGCGTAAGGAATGATAGAGAGAAGATAAATGTGATTGTGGATAAAGGAATGATAGAGAGAAGATAAATGTGATTGTAGATAAAGGAATGATAGAGAGAAGATAAATGTGTTTGTAGATAAAGGAATGATAGAGAGAAGATAAATGTGATTGTAGATAAAGGAATGATAGAGAGAAGATAAATGTGATTGTAGATAAAGGAATGATAGAGAGAAGATAAATGTGATTGTAGATAAAGGAATGATAGAGAGAAGATAAATGTGATTGTAGATAAAGGAATGATAGAGAGAAGATAAATGTGATTGTAGATAAAGGAATGATAGAGAGAAGATAAATGTGTTTGTAGATAAAGGAATGATAGAGAGAAGATAAATGTGATTGTAGATAAAGGAATGATAGAGAGAAGATAAATGTGATTGTAGATAAAGGAATGATAGAGAGAAGATAAATGTGATTGTAGATAAAGGAATAAGAGAGAAATGTGATAGAGAGAGAGATAAATGTGATTGTAGATAAAGGAATGATAGAGAGAAGGTAAGTATGATTTTAGATAAAGGAATGATAGAGAGAAGATAAATGTGATTGTAGATAAATTCTGGTAGAAATATCAATACTTCACAAGTAAATACCTTTTCTACTCACAACAAAATTTAAAAAAATTTTCTAACCCATTTTTTCCATGATAGTATTTGACAGAAACAAACACAAAGCATGGTCCTTAGGTGACTTACAATGAAAAAGACCTTGAATAATAAATGATTTATTAAGCAATAAACACTTAAACTTGCACTTGACAATGTCTTAATATCAGCTTTCAATTACAAAAAGAAAATGAAGATCAATAGACTTTTCTTCTGTAGTTCAGTGTGTTCTTGTACGGAATATTTCAGTTAGTGTATAATTCAAGGTAGAAAATGAAATGAAAGGAAATGAAACTGTATGTTTGGTGATCTTCTGGCGAGACCTGTTATATGGGGTAGAGAGAGTTAGGTTTTAGTACTTCCATACAAACACATACTCCTGTGGTACGCTGTACCCATGCACATGCTTTAACTCAAGACAAAGCCCCAATAACCTTTTAATAGAACACATGCTTAACCCTAGGCAAAGCCCCAGTAACCTTTTTAGAAAACACATGCTTAACCCTAGGCAAAGCCCCAGTAACCTTTTTAGAAAACACATGCTTAACCCTAGGCAAAGCCCCAGTAACCTTTTTAGAGAACACATGCTTAACCCTAGGCAAAGCCCCAGTAAACTTTTACATATCACAATAAACTCTCTATTAATCTATGAAAAGTATTTTCTTTATTAAATATATTTTCTTAGCATTTGAGACAAGGCGTAAAGTGTCAGCCAAATTTTTATTTCAAAAATTAAAAAGCAGCTTTATTAGTATTCATACATTAGACTCTTTTAGCTGTAACAATTTTGAAAATTTAGAAACAGAGTGAATTTGTAAATTTCCACAACAATATAGAATACCTGAAGCAGTACTTTTTCAGATTGATGATAATATGTACTGATATTACTTCCTTATTGCTTATAGCCAAAAAATCTATTTATACAACCATCATCGACAGTAGAGTTATATAAGGTTATTATGATGTACCTGCTACCCAGTAAGCATGCCTTAACCAACCAGAAGTCAAAACAGACACACTTCATGCTATAATTTCCTACACAGAATCAAACAATCTCTCATGTCATTCATGTTCTATATTAGAAATGTTTAGGTTTGTTCTACTTTATTTTCCAGAAAATTAAGGCTGAAAATTAAGTTATTAAAAAAGGATTAATTTTCTAATTAATATGATTTTAATGACATCTTACCCATTCTTTAGTTTAGGACTGAAATAGCATAAGTCTAAAAATTACTCTCCCCCTTACAAGTTCTGATGTACTAACCTGTGTATATATAGAGAAGTTTGACGTCAGCTATACATATATATCTTCCAGTAAATATTGATAAAATCGCTGATTTAATTTTTAGATGAATTATCTACAGGCAACTGGCTAACAGTAAGGATATGTTAGTATAGAAATAAACTATGACATGTACTTACTATATTTTACACACACAAATTATTTCTGCTACAAATATGTATATGTCCTACAGGTTCTACTACTGGTATGTCTATGGGTCATGCTACATGTACGGATGAACAGGAAAATCAATCGTACTTGGGATCGTGCAGTTCTAACATGCAATTAATAAATTTCTACAAAAGTCGTAAATTCTAAATAGCATTTTGAAATTTATTTGCAAATGGAACTGATTTATAAACTAAACCAATTTAGAATCTGAAATCTTGACATATGTTTTTGGCTGTTCCAGCATAAAATTTTGCAGCTTGGGAAGTTCCTAATCTAATCATTACATGTTATCTGGTGTCAGTGCTAGATCAGAATTCTGTCATTCACTTTTTATTTCCATGTTCAAAACTTGATTAATTTTGCTCTTTTGCCCTTGATTACAAGATAATCAAATATTAATTTTAGACGTTAACATCAAGAATTAAATTTTACATTTTAAGGGTAATTTCATGTTTTATTAGTCAGTCAGATTTAGGATACTAACATCCAGAGGTATAATACAATAAAATGTCTCTATGATTCAATATATTTCAATTTTCACTCCAGTATTTCCAGGACATATGCATATGTTCAAAATGATTTCTTTTTCTCAAGAAAATATTCTTCGAGTGAAAACTTAAAATTATTCTCCAGGCAAAATTTGACAAGACTTTTATAAAATTTTATCAAACAAGACAAAATGCAACAAATTTACTGAATGCTGACCAAAATCCAATTCAATAAGCAACTGCATAAAGATAACGTTTAACATCTCCTAATTTAAGATTATGTATTGAAGTGAAAACACAAGAGCTATAGGTCCCTCCGCTACACACAGTGGCACTTGGATATCTGTGTTCTGTCTATTGTTAGGGAGTTGGGTATTGAAACTGCCAAAGGTGTTGGGATAACTGGTTTTCATTCATTAAACCATACTTCAACACATTCTTATTTACTAACTCTAGTTTGAAAATTTGTAAAAGTGGATTGAGGACCAACAGACCAAGAGCCTGCAGATTGCTTTAACCAAAGGTCTGTATATCATTTCTGAACAACGTTGAACATACCGTGGATGTTGTGTACTCTGGCGAGACTTTGAAACTTCACGAAGATGCATCAGTTCTTCCTCATCCACATGATACTTGGGCTGGAGTCGGATATTGCTGCCATTCATGAAATACATACGATCTACTCGGTGTGACACAATCTGTAGACAGTGGTAACATAGAAAGGATTTCAGCTAGTTCTTTTAAAAAACAAGCTTAAGGATTGCTTTACATAGAATTCCATCTTATATCACATTGTGTAGTTCACTTATAGATGGTAAAGTTTACATGTAAAATAGAAATATATCACCACAGCATCTGAATAAATGTTTTTCTCTATGTTACAGGGGAATGTTAGCAGTGGGGTCTGAAGAATGCTTGGTTTGCCCAGTTTTACAGATTGGACTGGTTTATTTTCTCTTTTTCCCTTTTTAAATTATTAAAAGGGTAGAAACATTTTTCTTTTGATGGTGTTTGGGATGGGCTGTTTTGGGAAGAAGGAAAAGTAATGCTAAGTCTCCTTCTACTGTGCACCAATCATGATATACAATATACCAGGTACACACAAACTTCTTCTGTGCACAAACATGGGTACAAATCAAGGTAAACACCATCGTAATGATATTCCTTATATCTTGTTTAATCAGCCATAAACCATGACATGATAAGTCTTTTCACTCTATTCACACACATTTAAACACCTTTTAGACTAACAGCTCCCTAACTTAAATTTGTATTGACATTTTCTACACTGAAGTTTTCTCTGTTTGTGTGGTGTAGTTATGGTAAGGTTAGACACTACTAATATCCTAGTGTTACACGAGATTACCGAGATCTTCCATCAAATTGAATATCTAAAATAGACCAATTTATTTACAAAACAATTCTATTGATTTTGAAAAAAATTCTGGATTGAAACTTTGACTTACTTTATTAAGGTAACATAAAACCAACCTAAGGTGATCAGTGATCAGGTTTAACCTGAAAATGACCTTTAACCTACCTCTGACGACCTCTTGAGGGCACGACTGTCGGAGACACTGGACCATTCTCGGTTGAGACGCTGTCCTTGTTCACTTTTGTTCCAATGTTCACTATGAGCAGACTTCATGTGGCGTTTCTCTCCCGGCATGGTCTGTTGGAATATCATATATATATCATTACTATGGTGAAAACACAATGATCAGATCAAGATGAAAACTCAGGTACACTGCACTGACCTTTTGATGGACAAATTACACAACACATCAACATTCAAAGACAGAGATACATTACAGCATAGTGACCCAAAAGCTACATGTTAGTCTCTAGAATTTGTCCACTCAACTGTTGGAATTCAAATAACATAAATAAAACAGGTCATGAATATGATTGATTATTTGTCATTTCTTTAAAATATTAACTATGATTGTAGTAATAGATGTCATCCTACCGTCAAGTAATAGGCAAGATAGATATAGCAATGTCCTAGTCTAATGCTATCAACCATATTGATTAACTTATAAATGACAAGGTAAGTCATAACAGTAATTATCTCCCTTTAAAGCTTGAAAGAATCCCACAGAAATGTTTTGTTAATACACTTATTATAAGTTTATGAAGTAATCAATCATCAAGAAACAGATGTTGTTGTCCCTAGCTACAGACAGTTGTCACTTTAGCATAGACCTATTGTGGGAGTTCATTAAAGGTATTCTGTCTGGGAGACCATGCAGCTGATAATGTCAATACTTTCATTAAACTGTCAAGTACTCCTCATTCAGGAACAACACAGCTATTTCATGAAATGCAGGTACCAACATTGTCAGATTTCAGCAATGATAAAGTTTATTAAACAGAAAATGAATTATCTTTTTTTCAAATTGTGAAAATATTGAAAACTTAAATATTTTTATTTCTTAAGTACAAAACAATTTCTTTATGGTATTACAGTAGGTTTTTTTTTCTCAAAAGGGTTTGTTAGTAAAACCAAATGAGAAATTTATATATACCGGTATACCTATTAATAAATATACATATGATGAAGAAGATTGTGGCTTCAAATTTACTGAAGTAAGATGACTTTAAAGAAACTCTACATATAACATACATATCTCTGAATTCATAACAAATAAATCAAAGAGGACTTCAGATGGTAAATGGTTAAACAAACCTTCAGACAAGACATCACCAGATGCTTGAATTACTGATCAACGTCTGAGTTACATATAAACCTCCAAGGAAAATGATGAAAAAAACAATCGATCAGTGTCATGTTTGAAAACCGAACAAATTCAAATGATTGTAAAATCAAGTTTACAGTTTAGAAAGCCACTTCATCTGAGTAAATATTTTTCACATTTGATGGTCAGAAAAATAAATGAAAAATACTGAAGCATTCAGTATTTTTATTCAGTTATCAAAACTGAAGAATATATACTAGAAGTTATATTTATAGATTAAATGTGTGGGTAGATATAATTGTAAGTTTGATCCCAAAGGTAAACACTACTGTGTACATATATACCTATATTATGTACCTAATCAAGTCAGGTATTTAACTCCAGCACCATCTAACAGGTAACACCAAATTCACATATACACTGGTCAAACATAGATCTATACACAGGTCGAATTCATTTTCACTATAAATATCTACCACTGTATAAAACGGGAAGACAAGACTATCGCAAAGTTAAAAGTCAGTTTTTCTCAATGGGAGGTCATGCATTCCAATACTGACAAATATTGAATACACAGCAAAACATTTAAAATCTTAATAATTTGCCATTTACATAGAAAACACTCTTATAAAGTGTACATTGATCTCTATATCAACTGAACCTACCAAATCCAGTCAGTTGATCTTTACTCTGAAAAAAATTGATTATGGTCAGTTGAGACAACTTGATAAGTCATAAATGAAATGTCAAGTTATATGATAGACCAGTGGATTCCAAGGTGACTGTGCTGTTGGACTAATTTACCCTCATGAGGTCGAGAACTATGGGTATCTCACATTGGGGGTAAAGCTTTTTATGTACCACTCATATCTCCCTGTCATCCAAAGGTCAAAGATGTTAGAGTCACTGTCATATCAGAGAAGGGCAGGTACACCTACACTGTGTGTTTCTATCTATAAACTGAAAAAAAATTGTCACCTAGAACGTTTCACATAATGTTTCCAGTCATTTATAGGAACACAAAGGTGCTTTACATTATGAGTACATGTATACTTTTTAGTGTGTAATTTTTCTTTAGCTAATGAAGTGATCAATTGTCACATTTAACCTCTAAAACATTCTTTGACAAGATTCTTTTGATTATTATATACCAAGTCATTCTTTACTTGAGTGAAAGATTCAAATATTACAAAACTTTATAGCAATCAACAGTTGTTTTCATAAGCTAAACTTTAATCCAAACTGTAGAGAATTCCCATCATTGATACGACACAATTAAGAGCTAGTGACCTAACAGTACTCATCCAAGAACAATATCAATCTTCCAAACGTAAAACTTTAAGATCAAATTTACAAATTGTCAAAAACGTTGTATTCGGTCATCATCAATACCAAAACCTACAAGGTCTGGGCAGGAAGGATTCCTGAAATATCACATAGGATCATCATCAACACCAATACCTACAAGGTTTGGGCAGGAATTATCCCTGAAATATCACATAGGGTCCACATCACCACCAAAACCTACAAGGTCTGGGCAGGAAGGATTCCTGAAATATCACATAGGGTCCACATCAACACCAAAACCTACAAGGTGTGGGCAGGAAGGATTCCTGAAATATCGCACAGGGTCCACATCAACACCAAAACCTACAAGGTCTGGGCAGGAAGAATTCCTGAAATATCACATAGGGTCCACATCAACACCAAAACCTACAAAGTCTGGGCAAGAAGTATTCCTGAAATATCACATAGGGTCCATATCACCACCAAAACCTACAAGGTCTGGGCAGGAAGGATTCCTGAAATATCGCACAGGGTCCACATCACCACCAAAACCTACAAGGTCTGGGCAGGAAGGATTCCTGAAATATCACATAGGGTCCACATCAACACCAAAACCTACAAGGTCTGGGCAGGAAGGATTCCTGAAATATCACATAGGGTCCACATCAACACCAAAACCTACAAGGTCTGGGCAGGAAGTGTTCCTGAAATATCACATAGGGTCCACATCAACACCAAAACCTACAAGGTCTGGGCAGGAAGTGTTCCTGAAATATCACATAGGGTCCACATCAACACCAAAACCTACAAGGTCTGGGCAGGAAGGATTCCTGAAATATCACATAGGGTCCACATCAACGCCAAAACCTACAAGGTCTGGGCAGGAAGGTTTCCTGAAATTTCACATAGGATCCTCATCAACACCAAAACCTACAAAGTCTGGGCAGGAAGGTTTCCTGAAATATCACATAGGGTCCACATCAACACCAAAACCTACAAGGTCTGGGCAGGAAGGATTCATGAAATATCACATAAGGTCCACATCAACACCAAAACCTACAAGGTCTGGGCAGGAAGTGTTCCTGAAATATCACATAGGCTCCACATCAACACCAAAACCTACAAGGTCTGGGCAGGAAGGTTTCCTTAAAATATCACATAGGGTCCACATCAACACCAAACCTACAAGGTCTGGGCAGGAAGGTTTCCTTAAAATATCACATAGGGTCCATATTAACACCAATACCTTCCAGGTCTGTCAGCAATGCATTTCCTTAAGTTCCTGTAGTCTTCACTACAATGCTGTACACACATGCATACAAAATCTAAACGTCAAGGAAATGTCAGTTTTATTGGACTCTATAACAATACCTACAACAATACCTACAAAGGCAGGAAGTCAGGAATCACCGCAACAATCGCTGCTATTCCATAATGTTTATGTCAATACCTGGAGAAGTTCAAGAGAGCTTGAATCCAGTCCTCAAATAACGTGTGGCTCTCAGCAACCACTACCCAGTAACATTAGCACAACAGCCTGGCAAGTCATATATATCAACATACACCTAATTAATTGTTTTACAACCGTCTTACTGCTATGTTTCAAAAGCTATAAGGCCATTTATCTATGTCGGAAAATCATTTTCCAATTAACTACACTGGGTAAGGTGTTTATTTTTTGGATAAAGAATTACATATGGATTAAAAAATGTCACTCAGAATTAATTCATGAATTCAGTGTTTCATACTCTAGTAGATGTGTGTACAGATGTATGGTAAAACAGATATTATCAGACAACCTTCTATTTTTCAATAATTTTCCGGTAAGTAGCTCTCTATAAATATGAAACAAAATATTTCATTTGTTGAATGGTTGATGAACATCAAATACACTGATTAAACTCTTGTACATAGTTGCAGAACTTTTCCTTTCAATAACTAGTATTAGGACTTAAAACAAATTCTGGACTAGAAACAGATTAACTTATTGAAATATTCCAGATTAACTCTCTACAACTTACTAACACAAACCTTGTCCAGACTAATTCATTATGGATCAGAAATAAATCTGCTTTGAATAGAAACAAAAACAAACAAATAGGAAATTAATCTTGCAGTGAGTTTCATGAGCCTATGGTGAAATGGATACTAGCCAAGAATATCACTTTACATGTAACCAGAGTTCCTTACTTATAGTAATTGATTTATTCAATTTTCACTTTCAATGTTAATCAATGCAACTAGCACTTGAAAGCACAGAGAGCCGATAACAACAGAGAAAAAAAGAGAAATTTTTAAAATACCAGGCAATCTGCCCCTTTATCAAGACCTAAAAATGAGCCTTTCCATTGCAGAAGAATAAAATTGGTGAAAAAGTATTTGTTTGGCTTTCTGTTTCTCAGGACATAGAAAATATAGTATATTTCATGATTATTATATGATGACATTACAGCATGTCCCTAAAGATAGCCGGGAAGGGGCCATGACAGCTCCTTTGGTTAGAGAGCTAGCCTTCTCAATCTGAGATGAAAATCAGCACAGCATGGTCTGATGCTCCCTTCCCAAAGCTTTTTGTACTTCACAGGAAGCTGAGAAACGAGCCAGTCAGAGGGTACTATATGGAGACCCCACCTCAATATAGCTCTGGCTGTTCACAGGGCAATGAATGCACCAAACAATGAAATATTCTCGGACAATCTCTAAAAATTAATACTGTCTTAACCTTGTGTTGATCTGTATCAACTACAGAAGTTCTGCTACCTAGGTAACAGATCAGGGACCACAGAAAATCTAACAATGGCTTCTAAATACCATATATGGAAAATATATATACAATACCTTACAGACTACAAACAATTACCAAAGTTATAGAGAGATATAAATGTTGTATACATACTGTATACCATCTGAAGGATGAAAAAGGCACAGACATGTCGAAGGAGTTTAACAGAAGACAAGGTTTACTGCGGAGTTAAGATACCATATTTTCTGGTTATTCAAAATCCAATATATATCTATATAATACAGTCCTAATATTTTGTATAGATCTTTGGCTGTGGCAACCATATCAGAACAATTTATACAATATTTGCATTTGTAATGAAAACTTCAATCACTGGTTTGAAAAATAATGAAAAGTAATAAAGCCAAAAATCGATGTCAGAAATTGTATAGATGCACAAAAAAATACAAATGTCATTTAATGTATTATGTATGAATGTGTAGATAAACAAAGAAGTAAAGTTTGTGCAATAATAAATAAATATCACAACCAATACCAATGATACAGGTGTGCAACCCATGTAAACTTTAACATTTGTGTAGAACTAAGAAGATAACATCACCATGAATATAAAATTTACAGGTTAAAGTAAAGAATGGAAATATTTACATGGTGGTTACCCAACATCTTCAACATTTACACAAGGACTCCAGGATCACTTCACCTTATACATTCAACATAACACCAAGTCTCAGGGTTCACTTTACTCAACATCTTCAACATGACACCAAGTCTCAGGGTTCACTTTACACAACACCTCCAACATGACCCCAAGTCTCAGGGATCACTTCACACAACACCTCGAACATAACACCAAGTCTCAGGGTTCACTTTACACAACACCTCCAACATGACACCAAGTCGCGAGGTTCACTTTACACAACACCTCCAACATGACATTAGGTCTCAGGGTTCACTTTACACAACACCTCCAACATGACACCAAGTCGTGAGGTTCACTTTACACAACACCTCCAACATGACATCAAGACTCGAGGTTCACTTTACTCAACATCTTCAACATGACACCAAGTCTCAGGGTTCACTTTACACAACACCTCCAACATGACCCCAAGTCTCAGGGTTCACTTTACACAACACCTCCAACATGACACCAAGTCTCAGGGTTCACTTTACACAACACCTCCAACATGACCCCAAGTCTCAGGGATCACTTCACACAACACCTCCAACATGACACCAAGTCTCAGGGTTCACTTTACTCAACATCTTCAACATGACACCAAGTCTCGAGGTTCACTTTACACAACACCTCCAACATGACATTAGGTCTCAGGGTTCACTTTACACAACACCTCGAACATGACACCAAGTCGCGAGGTTCACTTTACACAACACCTCCAACATGACACCAAGTCGCGAGGTTCACTTTACACAACACCTCCAACATGACACAAAGACTCGAGGTTCACTTTACTCAACACCTCCAACATGACACCAAGACACGAAGTTCATTTTACTCAACATCTTCAACATGACACCAAGTCTCAGGGTTCACTTTACTCAACACCTCCAACATGACATCAAGACTCGAGGTTCACTTCACTCAACATCTTCAACATGACACCAAGTCTCAGGGTTCACTTTACACAACACCTCCAACATGACCCCAAGTCTCAAGGATCACTTCACACAACACCTCCAACATGACACCAAGTCTCAGGGTTCACTTTACACAACACCTCGAACATGACACCAAGTCTCAGGGTTCACTTTACACAACACCTCCAACATGACACCAAGTCGCGAGGTTCACTTTACACAACACCTCCAACATGACATTAGGTCTCAGGGTTCACTTTACACAACACCTCCAACATGACACCAAGTCGCGAGGTTCACTTTACACAACACCTCCAACATGACATTAGGTCTCAGGGTTCACTTTTCACAACACCTCCAACATAACACCAAGTGTTATGAAGAACATGGATCTCAAATATTTCTCTGTCAAATCATGAAGTCTTTAAAAAAGTAAATTTTTTAAATGTGGTCAAATAAAAAAATTAAGTCAGTTTTTTAATTTTCATTTTTCTTGGCAGCTGTACAGTTTTAATCTCCGATGAAAATTTAGCATTTCACTTTTTCAAATTGAAACTTTCAAAAAATCACAGGAACAAAAATTCTGGAAATTATGGTCACTTAACTTTCATACATATTTGAGAGACTGCAAAAGCTTCTTGGACAGCTGGTTTCAGAAGCCAGCTATTAAAACGACATTTTAGGGGGCAGCAGAAAAAAATTAAGGAGACTAACTTAAAAACTTGGATATACATGGACAAAGGTGCTATGGTAATTAGGAACAAATCACAGACTATAAACATGTGCAATAATGGGAACACAACATGCAAGCAATCTAAACAGGGTCTGGGTGCAGGCACAAAATTAATTAATTTTTATTTGGATTCTGTAAAGATACATTTGTCATGATCTTTTTAAAAAACATGTATTATACTCAATAAAGACTGGGTAACTTTTAAAAATCTCCTATTTTCAATTATATATGAATATTCACAGAAAATATGGAATCTTTACATAGAATACACAATGACTATATGGCCTGACATTCTACTGGGGAATTCTACAGGAGGAACACACCATGCAGTATACTTAACTTCAAACTATACTGTAGAATTTATAAAAAATCTTCCACCAAGGTTTTTATCATATTACAAGAAGATGGTCAGCTACATGTATGGATTTCTAGAATATTCTAGCTACAGAATCAAAGTTGTTTCTGATCATCTTCTGTGTAATAACCACTGATTTATATAATTTTTTATCTATAAAAAAAAATTACAAACAAATTCTCACCATGTCAAAATACCATCTTGTCTGGAAAAGCAAAGTTATGGGTTGATTGAAATGATGACAGAATGTACAAAATATGACTTTATATATTCCAGTAGTGGTAGTCAGTCAATAGGAGATTAATCTCCACAAAGTTGCTTACTTATAAAGACAAGAGATAAGAAATATTGAACATAAAGGTTAAAGGGTAGTTATCAAGTGTCATGCAACAGAAATTGTGACACTGAATACAGTAAGCTAGTGTCTATACATGCATACCACCAAACTGTCATCCTTTACTGATAATTCTTACAAAGTTATTTCCATTGGGAAATGAATGACATTATGCTCAAAATTTCCTCTCCAGGAAGAAATGTGAGAGCCATTTTGATAATTAAAGAACCTTATGACACTTCCACCCTAGGAGAGATTTCATTCGACCATACCTGGGAGTTGAGAAGAAAATTTTTGAAATTAAAGTCAGTTTGATCTTTTGGCCCTGCCTAACATCCCCTGGGGTTCAGTCAGGATCAATCTATCCATACCATCTAGCTGTCATCCTTCATTCATAATTCTAACCAAGTTTGAAATATTTCCAATGGATAACAAACATTTTATCCTCAATATTTACGATTTTGTAAACCACCTTAAGATGCTTCTATCCATGAAGAGCATTTGATTCTAACATATCAGGGTGTTGAAATGAAGATTTTTTAAAATTTGAATAAATTTGACACTTTTGTCCCCAACCCTCAGGTCCCCATGGGGTGGGGACCATATCATTCACTCTTTTCTTTTATTTTAGACCAGGGAAGGTTTCTGCGAAATTTCATTGAAATTGGATAAGGAGTTTTTGAGAAGTCAAAAATGTTAAATTGTTTACAGACGCCCGACACCGGATGAAGGTGATTGCAAAAGGTCACCATGAGACTTTGTCTCAAGTGACCTTAAAAGACAAAACATCTGGAAGACATCATTCCTTTGAAAAGAAATGTCAGATTTGATTTTACAGTTTTTAGATAGAAATGTAATATGCTACAAACAAAATCTGGTGCTGTGTTCTGATGATATAGCCTTTTTTCAGCTCGCAACATGAAACACAGAGACTTTATTTGTGTATTTACATGTTGCAAAACTAATGGTATCATGAAAGAAAAAGCTTTTCAATTTGTTTTTCATTTTGCAAAGAAAAGACAAGGTAAAAAGTGATATCTGAACAGTGATTAAAGAGTGAAAAAATGGGCACCGGACTATCAGTATTATAACAGAGGACAGCTGTATACCACATCTCATCAATGGCCGAGGAAATGTGTGTCCAAATTAATGATGTTACTCAATTGTAAGCAATTACAGAGAAGAATTCTATGATGGAGTTCTAAAACTGACCATATTCAAGAACTGATAAAACTCATAAGAGAGTGTTGTAGGATGTATTTACATAAAAATGACCTACCGTATTTCGGCTAGAGGTACTTCTGGAAGTCTGCATAGAACGAGTGGCCTTAGAGGTGTTGGACATGGCACGCTTTCTCGAGGGCAGGATGGAGGAATGCGTGTACGGCCGGTTAACCTTGGCTGATTTCACTCTGTTAAAAATGTAAAGTCAGAATGACGTTGATATCATGTAAGACTGTAAGTTTTGAACAACGTACCCAAGTAGATGCTTTTATATCGACAAATTGAAGACACTTTGGAAAACAATTTCTGATTTCTCAAACTGCAACAGATCAGCTATATTAAATTTTATGTATGTATTAACTGAAAGTCAATAATGAAGACTATGAATACTGTATATATCGGGGAAACAATTACAGAAACTTTTGTTTTTGTTTTCCCTATTTCAATAAACTGTCTATTTTCAATCAGTCTTACATTAACTTAAAATATACAAAAATACCCATTTATTTCAGCTTCAACTTAAAACTTCAGCCTGTCTTTTATATATTTTTACCATGTTGACAGAATGGGAAAACAGAGCAAAGTTCAAAGTTAAATGTTTTAATTTGTTTGAGTGAAATTTCTGGATTCTATATAAAGCCATTATATTTGTTAAAAACATCATGGAACTTCTGCCACTAAGTTACATACATACAAAATATGTTCAGGTTCTATATATGTCTTATTACATAAAACACCCTTTTGCTCATTTTGTGAAGAATAATTATATAAAACTATTATACGATAATAAACAAATATTACGTCACCATGTTTCTTGAATGTATATGACATTGAAAGTAATTAAAACAGCCATATGTGGTATTTAAACATCGACACAGAATACATTTTATACCACATTAAACAGATTGAGGTATTGTATCTATGACATTCATTTGTACAGAATTTCCTGTCAATATATTAATTATAAGCAGGTTCTGTTCAGAGAAATCTCAGACATGCACAAGACAATATAACACTTCACTTGATACACAAAACAAATCGTCTTTGAATTTATTAAAGAGAAATTTGTAATATAACAAGTAAGTCATTGGATTGATTGTGTACATACACCTATCTACACTCTGTGACATTATAACTGGCAAGGTACCAATAGTCTGTCACAATACCAAATGTTATTTCATTTCAGGTTCTATAGTCAACACTCGGCTCACAAGTGCCCCTCAAACAATCTGTTTTACAGCTGTGTTCAATCTGTTTACAAGAGGTCAGAAGGTTAACACTGTTATTGGTTAACTTTGTAACATGTTGCATCGGTACAAAATAATGACTGCTCCCCAACTCCTGTGGTATTGTCGTCTGATTTCCACAGGTGATAAATATAGCGTCTGTAAGCTGTGTTAAGTTATTTAATCATTCATTTGATCTTGGTTTCGTGAAATAGGTAACGGTTTATAAACATCAGGAGTATACACAGTAAGAAGTAGACTAACTAGTGTACAATGTATACCACGATATCAATTACCTATAATGTTTGAAGTGTTGGTCTTCTCTGGTGTGGTGACTTTTAATTGAAAGAAATTATAAAACATGCTCTAGTGGTATATAAATTTTATATCCTTTCAATCTTCACTCCTATTTAATTGGTCACAATGTTCTAAAGTATCTATAAAGTTTCTTGTGAAGTATGCCTGGAATTCAGTATTTGTGTCATTATTTTTTACTTTATGTTTCAATAGCAATTTCAACAATTCTATTAAATGTCAAGGTGACATGTGGTCCTGGCAAAGGAATGGACATAAGTAGGGACAGATGCAAGAACAGGGTGCAAATTTAACAGCTCACTGGATCTAGGTTGGGGAATTACATACAGAACTGAATTTTGATTTTGTCTCATGTGTTCCAATGGTTCCAGGCCTAGACAATTTTCCTGAATTTCAGCATATCTGACATAATTGGTTGAAGTAGATAATACTGGTGGTTAACCTGAGAACAAACATCTTTAGGTGACAAATTACTGAACAACAGGGTCTCAGGATTCCCAAAGAAAAGTACTCTGTACAAATGTGCAGAATATACATTTTCAGTGATGTCTATGGAAAACTTACCCAGTGCTAGCCTGCATGACATACATTTCAGGTGAATCAGATCCTGGTACCTGAAATACACAAAACAAATATAAAGAAACTAATTGAAAACCTCTCTCCCAATGAAAAAAAAAATCTATTTTAATTTTTGTTGCATCAAAGTAAAAGGTTCTATGAATCCTAATAAACAATCTGAGAGATTTTTTTTAAAAAGAGACCCTGACCTTCGACCTTTGCTATTCTTTTTAATGAATTGGTATTAAACTAAAAGTAAGCTTACATTGATTAGCATTTTGTATTCATTGTTTTAGTGTAACATTGATTTTCAAATATATAACATAAAGATTCTGTGACCTTTGACCTAGAGCCTGAGCAGGCTTTCTCTGTTCTGGTATCCAAGTGCAGCTAAAAAATTTAATTGTGAAAGTGAATATGTCAATTTAAAATACAAAAATCAGACATCAAAGCAATCATGCAACATGTTTATAACATGTATATGAGTTAAACACCTAACCTAGCATAACAGGTCAAATTTCGTACTTCATTACCCTGTCATGGACTAGAAACATATCCACTTATCAACATTAAAGACAATTAGTAGACTTATCTGAGCCATCAGCGCTGTGTCAATGTCACTTGGCTAATGGTTTGGGCGTTAGCTTGTTAGATCTGGAGTGAACTCTATTCATTGAGTGTTAATATATAGTGAGTGTACTACCACTTGATCTTAGAATTAATGTTATATAAAAGATATATCGAAATTTAAATTTAACCACAAGAGTTCATATTACATACTTTAAAGTTTAAATATGTTAATTATTATTCAGAATCTTTTTATAAATCTTTTAATTACATATACTGACCAGAAAACAACCTCCACTGAATCATTAACTACCCAATGACAGAGCTGATATACCATAAAAAACCTCGAAATGTGTGCAAGTTTTTTTTTTTATAAAAAACCTCGAAATGTGTGCAAGTTTTATTTTTAGAAAATAAATGTCCTAATTTGGGGGTGTGTACATTGCGTACATTATAACTATCGGGTATATGGTGTCTTTTATGAAGTTAAATGAGGGAGGAAAACCATATTTGCTTTCTTTAGAGAAGAATTCAAGAAGAAAAACAACAAAGAAATTAAACAACAAAAACTAACAAGAACAACAAGGATAATTATTCAAATACCGTATGTCCCCTTCATTTGAGTCAGAGACGTAAAAAATGTGACAGAGCCTTATATATGTTATATATAGAAAGGGTGGAAATTGAGATTCTGTAGTGTGGTGAGACTGGGTGTATAGGCTTATGGCCATTAAGAGGGTAGCTGTTAGGGCTAGCTATTGGTATGCTCTTTTCTAGCTTTGTCTTTTTGACATTAAAGTAAGTGTACATTAACTATTTTAAATACCTACTGTATTAATATCTTTTTAAAACTTTTAACAGCATGGACTTAAACTGTAAACTATATGTACGTAATATATTGATTAGTGTTGATCACACATAGATATGGTTTTAGGGTTTTAAACCTTACTTTAAATGGTTCTTAACACAAGCTTTTGTTCATTTCAGTAAAGCTGATACATATCAGTTTGGTTTCCAACTTAAATGTTTAACCAGAAAAGAGAAAAAGGCATTTCCACATTTACATGCAGCTTTATGCTAAAATTCAGTAACAAAATTTCAATAAACAAAAATTACAAGAATTTACAACTGAACATAAACCTTGGGTCTTCTGAAAACCAAATTATTCATTTAAAAAATTATAGCCTTTCAAACTAAATTTGGTTGAAATTCTGTTGGGGATTTAGGAATACTGGCATTAGAAAGCAAAATTTCAGCTAACCTCTAAAACTGGGGCCCAGTCCCCCCATTCTTTGTGTTGATTCAACATTCTGAATTTTAGAAATGATAGTCCACCCCTAATGATGCTTCTGACCAAATTTAAATGAAATCCACTGAAACATTAATGAAGAGTAGGGTCTTAAAGCAAACATTTAGCCAAATTCCCCATTTGGGGCCCTTCCTCCCAGTCTCCAGGGATTGAATCAATTTTCTGAATATAAGAGTGATCACCCACCCAGACCAAATTTGGTTGATACATTGTGAGGTGTTTCACCGAAGTCCCAATTAAGAGTCCTACCCTCCAAGGCTCTAGTGGTCAAATCAACATTTTGAATTTCAGAAATGATTGTCTTTCCCTAATGATTTTTTACACCTAATAAGATTGAAATAATCTAAAGTGGTAAGAAAAAGTAAGGTTTTAAAGCCAAATATTAGCCAAAATACCACATTCCATGTCCCAATCCCCAAGTCCCCATGTGTTAAATAAATATTTCTAATTAATCTGAAAAATGACTGCCCATCCCTGATGATGTTTCCAACCAAATTTGATTGAAATACACTCATGTGTTAAGGAAGAGTAGCGTTTTAAAGGAAAAGTTTACAAAGGGTGCACACTCACTGTGGATGACAATGGCTGAAACACGATGGCTTTAGATCATCTTGACCGTTTGGGTCCAATGACCTTAAAAAATTTGTCAAGTGGAACAAAAATTGACCTCTGATCTCTGATCAGGTGACTTCATCTTCAATTTTCAGGAGTTGCAATCATGTTTACTCTTTGCACCCCTGGTACATCTCCTTGCAAAATTGAGGGCACAAGCAAAGTAATTTGATTCGTCTAGAATGGGTTTCAAGGAAAAAAATTGATCAATCACAGACAGATATAGTCCTTTGAATATTACAAAGTACTGATACCTAACTTCAAAGTCAGTACAACATACCATTATGTGACCTCAATATTCGTTTGATGTGTACATCAAAGGATCAAACTAGTCTTATCCACATGGAACCTTCAAACTTCTCATGAAATATTCCAGGTGTGGAGAGAGCAATAGTTAGTGTAACCCCTGGAGTATAGAAAGACCTTTGAATTTTGGCCTTTGAGAAATTCAACTGATTTTTTTTTCATTCTGATAAATATTACATTGTTCTTCAAATATGTAGACTGTATATATGGCAAGTCAGATTCTTACTTTGGCAAATGTGACCTTGACCTTATGGTCAGATATCTATCAAATGATATTATTTGGGTCTGGATGCCTCCTTTGACTTGCTGAAATTTACTTAAAATGAGTTACTGCTGTGTTGTCCGAATTAATCAATTCCAGAAGCATGCAGTTTCTTAGTAACTCCTCAAGTTAATAAAACAAATCTGAGTCAGTTAATGGTGCTGATGATCTTTTATGAACATATATCTTGTTAAGGAAGAGTCGTGAAATAAATCAATAAAGCAATGACCAGGAATTTTTAGAAAACAGCTACAAGATGAACCATCTTCAAAAAGATTTGTATCCAAACTTCTCATTAAAGAGAATAATTTGATAACATTCAAGCTGCAGACGATTTGGGGTCCTGAGTGATGGTAACACCTTATATATTATGTAGTGTGTTTGAATCTGGATCATCTGTATTGAGAACACGTAATTTGTGTCGGTCAAAATTGAACTTCATCTATTTTACAACAATTGTGAAACAAGTTATTTCAGCTTATACTAATCACTCTTGTAAGCCTGGATATAAGTGCACGAGGGATCTTATCATGGGAGGAAACCAGACTACCCAGGGAAAACCCACTTGGTCGGGCAGGTAACCCCTTTCCTTTTCATGTCCATTATGGGAAAAGGTGAAAGGCGAGTTTGTTACCACTGCGCCACCCAACCACACATAATCACTCTTGTTGGCCCAGATGGAAACAGGCGAAGGGTTTCAGTGTGGGAGGAAACTGGAGTAACCCAAGAAAACCCATTTCTATTACGGAAAGTGAACCCCAGATACCTATAAGTTGTAAGGGAAGTATGTGTCCACTGTCCCATCAAGCCAACATCGCTTAGCTCTGTATCTATCTATTAGTAAGTTGACAACAAGTCTAACTATTTAGGCCAAACTTTAAATGAACAGTAAAATAAATGACTGCATATTGATCAAACTTCAGTCTGGAATTTGTCTCTGGCTCAGCACAATTTTAAACAAAAGAAAAACCAGACAGTAATTGATTTTACATGTGAGACATGTTTGTTCTCAGGATGTATCATCAAACACGTGATTTATGAATTGTAGAGAAAACCTTTTTACACCTCAAAATCTATAGACAATCAGAGTGTGGTTTCATGGTGAAAGTGTGTTTGTATGTATAAAAGTATTGATCAGAATGTAACCGAGAAAAGAGAGAACAATAGCAGAGTCTAAACAATAAAAGTGTGTGGAGGCTGAATACCCTGATGAACAATAATGAATGGTACTAGTAGTCACACAAGTTTCACAAGCTAGCATACCATACCGACTGGAAAAACATAAACGGATTGACCTTTAGGTAGTCATTCTCCCTCTCTGTTGATCTACCTTTTACAAATGTCATGGATGCTTGAATTGATCAATATAATAAAATAATCATTCATTTTACTGTTATAGTGTACAGTATACCAGATCTGGGTACCTATCAGACAATTCAATATTTAATGAGTAATTGTGAGACCCAGTGATATCAGCAAATTTTGAAACAATAACAGCATACACAATACAGTGAAGGCATTCTTTATAATCCCTTGCCTTAACTTTAGCTTTAGGTGCTACCCTTACTTCAAGCCATTGGTCACAGTGACCTTGGAGGTAAGTATTTTATGTTGTCTTCAAGCCCATAGTATGACCTTGGGGTAAGTCTTTGATGTGACCTTCATTCTAAGTCCATTGTGACATCTTGAGGTAAACATTTGATATGATTTTGACTCTCAGCTCATAGTGCAATCTTGAGGTAAGTCTTTGCGTGACCTTGACATTAAAACCATTGTGTGACCTTGAGGAATGCCATTGATGTGACCTTGACTTTAAGTCATTTATGTGATTTTGGCTTTAAGCTTTTGGTTTTACTTGGACTTTTAAATCTTTAGAATGCACTTATAGTTGTACTTACAGAAGAACCATATCTGGCAATGTGTGTGTGCTGCCCACTATATACATGGTTGGAAATCCTGGTGGGTACACCACGTGGGCTCAGCGTAAAGGCCTTATTTCTTAGGTAATTGGTGTACCCTGATGGTGCACTTGTTATGGACATTCCATTCCTGTCCACAATCCTCATGGAATCTAGTCCTGGGTGTACCACTTTGCGGAATATCCGCTCCGCAGCCTGAACATCTGAAATAACCCAGGAAATATACATATAAACTACCAATTTATTACCTAGCTATACCACATACTGCCTTTATAAACCTCATTTTTCTGGTCAATTTTATATTTGATAAGGTGATTCCATAATGGACATTGAGAAAAAGTCCCAAGCTCAGAATTTCATTAGTCACAAGTTTTAGGCATGGAAAATTGTTTCAGTAGTTTGTTTTGTTCACACCTGATACAATTTGCCTCAGCAGTTAAACATTAATGAAACACATACATAGCATATTTAACCACAAATAGATATCAAATAAATTTTATTGTTTGTTTTCTTTAGCTAAAATTTCATACCAAATGAAATATAATACAACAGATGTAAAATTGTGAAAACAAGTTGTTTAGTTTAGTACTGTCCATCTATACATCTAACATTGATAACATGTTACTTTCATAACGGAATCTTTTGAAAGATGAAGTAGAGGTTGATTGAATTCACAAGAAAATAATGGTTCATTCAATGCAATATCTTTGAGTTCATTAGATCTGTCTCTGACCAATAAACCTTCTCAACAGTGCAGGTCCATCAGTTTCTTTGGGCCTTCCTGCATCCTTCAAATTTCTTACATTGTTATTTCCAACTATTGCTATGTACATTTGATAAAGATTACACTGACTGTATTTTTACACAATGTTCATGTAAAGTACATGTACTTGAAAGTTGATAAAAAAAAATAGTACTGAAGTAGACCTCTTCATACTGCCATTCAAAGCATATGCAGTCTACAGATGTTAAGACTATTAACTCACATAAAGTCAATATGCTACTGGTTTACTTCTGATTGTTGTTGATGGGAATTTTAAACACCTTGATAAATGAATTTCAATACCTGACCGGGTCCAGTAAAAAAATTAATTGGATGTATGGTTTCCCTGTCAGGCAAATACATATGAACTCACTTTCTATTGCCAGAAATCATGTCTGTGGTATTCTGTGAAATTATAATGTAGTCATTTATCATCATTATTTAAACATTTAAGTAATTACCAAAAAGGCACACTTTTCTGAGAGGTTTGAATGGCTATCAGTGTTATTGGTATTACGCCAGCTATAATTTAAATGTACAATTAAAGTTGGATTACACATCAATGAAATCCCAATAATAGCTAGCTGGAGTAATAGGATTACATGTGTCATGTAATACATGCAAGTTCACATGAGCAGAAGGTTTATTGGAAATGTTCATCTCTTAAAAGTTTTTATGAAAGAAATCAGTGAAATCAAACACCTGGTACTTCAGCTAAAAAGCATACAATTGAGCCACATGTAAAGCGAAACACAGTTCTTTTACTTCATAATATTTTTGCATTTATATAATACTTTACAGACCTCATATTTATTTTAAGAATAAAAGTTTGTTGTTCATAATTCTATAACATACTTCTACCATGAAAAACTGACTAGAAATTTGAATTTTCTGGATAAAATTTACAAACTATTCTCTGCACTTGACAACACTACAAGTTTCATAAACACTAAGATTTTATTTTCTTTCTCATTCCTTCAATGTTTCAGCAAAATGAATCTTGAAATTCACGAACAATGAAATTGGTAACCATCAACAAATTCCTATATTGTTAATCAAATATCACTATTTGTAAGAACGATTTAGTCCATTCAAATAAGAACTGATACTTACCATGTCGATAAGGTGTGGAAATAGTGATCAGTTCTTCCATATATCCATTCATGATTTTCTTGACATTGATTGCTTCAGTGCATAGTTATACCTGATCTTATGATACTTTTAAGATTTTGCTTTGATCCAAATCGATTACAATTGTATTGGTAATATATGAAGTTAAAAGTCAAATAACACATTAAACAGGCAAAATGCACTGTCAGTAAGATGATTACATCAGGGGATAAGCGATTAGTCTACAACAAACTAAACCCAAGTATTTAGGTGTATGACTGTTAATGCTATACAGTATACTGAAAGATCTGCAATCTTGGCCAATAATCTACGAACTTTTAACTATCGTGATTGACATTGTAGTGCCAACCTCCTGATAACATTATTTGTGTTATTGATAAATTAACTTCTACAAACACCAGAAGCCGCAAGTAAAGTGCCCATCAAATTGGCATAAAAAGTCCATTAATCGCCAGGTGGTATGATAGCTAATAGCAAGTGTTAAAAATCGTCTGCTACCGTATGCCTTCATGATCTAGTTCACTTACCAAAGTTTCTCTGCGTTTCCATATTTACCACTCATCTGAATTTCATATTGAATCCCTATAACATGACGTATGTTTTGTTGATTTTCCACCTATAACGTTAAGTCTACATAGTAAAACTATGCGATTCCGTTCTTGACACTTGCACATTGGCTTCACATGGTCGCCATTTTTGTGTATTTGTGACGTCACGGTAACCATGCTCTGAAGAAGGGAGCATTCAATAATTTGGACGACTTCCGTGATCAGTTCGTACTTGTTAAAACGGGAGGGTTCGACGTTCAGCTACAGCCTATTTTTTTTTTAATTTACTACAACCTTTATATCGCAGTATTTATATACCGAAATTGTAATAGTTCCTAGTGCACAGTCTTTGTTATTTTTCTTATTTCTTTAAAACAGTTATCACAGGGTTTCATTGCATGCAACTAACCACAACCAGTAGTGGAACATGAGGCCAATCCAACTGGTAGCATACCGATATCATTCTTTAAAATTTTTAAGAAAAACTTTCACCATCTGAGTAACCAATTTGTAGCATAAATATGTATTTCTAACTTGAATTAAAAATATTACTAAATCTATTAACTGATATCATTACTTTGAATTAGTGATATTACTGTAAATCAAATGAATATGTTAATAACTGGCTTTATCACTGTTAATTTGCTGATATCACTTATGATATCTCTAAATCAAGTTAGTGATATCATTACTGGTGATTCATTTCATATATCTCCCTCCTCCACTGTTGTGTATCACCTTTAGTTTAGACCAAATATTGTTCATTTTAGCATCATTCTGAAGAGAAGACATTCAACTTTTGACCTTTAATGACCTGTAATTACTACCTACCTATCCATTATATAGGTCCAGTAGAACAATTAATTTGTTTAATCATCAAATTTTAATCTTTCAAGGAGATGGTCCTTTCCTTTTCACAAATATATTGAATCCAAACAACTTCAGAATGTGTCCAGTCAAACAGTGAAATTTGACTTTAATCCTCTCCTTCACTCTCGTATTTTCATACTTTTGTTTCTTCCAGCTTCTTGTACATAGACATATTGTGATAGATTATGTATCCATTCCTTATTCTCATTTCTTCATACTTCAGATAAAGGACACACTATTGTAACATAACAATGGAGACACGCTATCTACATGGTGACCATTTATTTATTATACAATTCAGTGACATGTTCATGAAAGGCAACATGTACAATTATATATGTATCTTGTAAAGAACTGTAAAATACAGGTACTGTGAACATTATATAACAAAAATAATGAAAGAATATTTCTGAGAACATTTTCTGAAAATAAACACTGAAATCCCAAACCATTACATACCCTACACAAATATATATTTGATCAACATGTATATATACACAGTTCAGGAAGGATCATTAACATAATAGACAATATCAGTATTGATATATTTAGGTGGTGACTCTGCACATTGACAGTTACTTTCCTTGATGATTCAAAGTGGATACCAATATTTGCCATATTTAAAAATTAGAAATGAGCTGTAAACATGGAGCCAATTCTTTGAAATTTAAAAATCAACTGAAAATTTAATCATTTAAGGTGCTGTATAAAAAGATCAATTTCTTTTTAATCAAAAGGACGATAAAATGATACAAAACAGATGTATGTTTATTCATTGGCTAAATATCACACCACCACACTAATGCCCACTGGGGGTAGACATCTTTTTACTTTAATATTGGAAAGGAAAAAAACCTTTCTGCAAACTCTATTTCTGTTGTTTTATTTAATATATTTGAACAGAATCTCGGAATCTTGTTAACTCACAGCTGAGCATATCAATTTAACCAAACATCAGGGACCATTTTAAATTTCGATTTGGTAATTAGATAAGATTATAATTCAAGGTCTTCTTAATCTTTGTTGTGGTTTAAACCTAGCTGTAAACAAAATTTAAAATAAAATAACTTGTTACAGAATGGCACTGATTAACAAATAAGATGCAGGTCAATGAGACAACAATACAGTGTCTGAAGAATAACCAACCAGTTCATCATCAATAAAAACAACACACCTTCCTATTTTCTCCACTTTTTGGCTTTGATTGCACACTATTATTTGAATATGATACTTTGAAATATCCATGAAAATCTAGGACTGTGCAAATAGTTCATACTCGTGTATCTACAAAATAATATCTAGACATCAACTGCAGGAAAAATCCAAAAATATAGTAAGACTATTTCTGATCAAACAAAAACTTCATAATTTCAAGTGCAAATTAACAAATGAAATCATTTAAATAAAATTACAAAAATAACTTCTACTAATTGACTATTAATGGCAAATATGTGACTACGGTAAATAACTTTCAAAATAAGATAGAACAGTTTGTCGTAGTTTCCATGGTACAATTAATGAAAATTATGCACATGAAAAAAATAACAAAAAATATGGTCTTCTTAACAATATTTAGTTATATTTTCAACAACTGTTTACTACAACTATGTGTAATACATACGTATTTTGTCACGTTCATGTACATGTATCTCCTGATTACCTAACTTCATCTTGCAAAAATTGCCGAATATATCGACTTAAAGAGAACTCTGATGTTGGTGTGCGTATTACAGCAAGTGTTCACCACGGAAAAATGTGAGGAAGTGAGACGAAATGATGCTACATTCTAAACTAATCATAGCATTTACCATATCAAGACTTACACAAAACAAAAACAATTTCCCATTTAACCTAAAACTTTTATGTAAAGAGTTATGTTCCTTAACAGAACTAGAAAACTCGACTAGAATGTCCATGTTCCTATGTATCATTGTATTATGTTTGAATGCATCAACATTATCAATTCACATATTATCATTCATCAACGGTTAGTTTACATGTTTTTTCAACAGGAAATCTTTAGAGAAGAGATAATGTCACAGAAATTAACAAATATCTGCCCACCTAAATAATTATTTACTCATCAATAATAAATTAGATATCTGATACACAAGGACCTCTGTATTAGCTATCTGGTAACACGTGCCTTATACATACATATCTATTCTGTACTAACTTGATTACAATCTTCATTGAACATTCACTGTAGCATTTGTTCTTTTTGTTGAAATTGTCCTTTCATTATGACAATAATAGCATTAGCGATGAGGATGTTTGTTATCATCTCCAAAAAATATCTACTCATATTATTAAATGTAATAATGATAATAATCATGTTATAATAATATGAATACAAATATATAGAAGTAGTGAATAAATTTTCTATAATTTCTGTATTGAATAACTCTATAAACAGTATAAAAACTTCTACCAACAAGATCAAGCAAAGCATGACATTATTACTATCATACAAATGATGAATTCCTGGGTGGTGAACAACTTTAATAAGACAGTAAAACACTAAGATCTCCTTTCCTGTTTTACAAACCATGTATCCAAATTTAAATGTGTGTATTTGAGACAGTTTTATTTGTCTCAATTGCTGTTTTTTCTCAGCAATTTAAAAAAAACGTCAACTTTATCAAAATTAGTTTGTAAATGAGACAGTTTGATGACGTCTCATTGGTGGTTTTACAGTAAAGCTATCTAAATAAATTGTGATACGAGACAGTTTGAGGTTGTCTTCTTTGTTCTATCTCTGTAACTCCTACACACTGTCTTGGCAGAGGTCAGATTTCTACCCATAATGACTACAATAATAACAATTCTAAATAACACTATTTTTTTTTTTTAATTTCAATTACTTTAAAACTTTTATAGATACAAACTGTCCACTAATAGAGATGTATCTAGGGGGATTTCATTGAAACAGAAACACCTATTTCAAGACAAAATCAAACTTTCCTTGCCTAAATCTACTGTTTACCATTGTGAGTATTCTGTATAATTGGACTGGAAGGAATTCATTATGTATACAACTAAAAGGAAGACGCTCTGCCAAAATCACAGATCCATTTAATGTATATGGAATGTTCCTGTGTTTTCATTAGTAAACATGACTGTTAAGCATTTATCAAAAAAACAAAATTTTCTAAAACAGAACAACTATAATGTTGAAAACTACACCATAATCACAAAAATATGCCTTTGCCTGTGAGGTATAATGTTCTACCTACGACTGGATTTCGACGTTATATGTACAGTACTCGTGGACTGTGACAAAATGAGTGACAAATGCACCAACACACCACATATATAGCATTCAATATCTCACAAATCGAAAGTTACAGAAGTAATATAAAACAATAAATACTTTCGGTATGTTCACAAGCACAAATCCATGTTACAAAAAATGTTTATCTCCCTTTCTTAATGATACCAGTATGATCTTATTCAACAATAATTTTCAGTACTTCTTCTATGTAAACATATCTTTTGACATTTTAAGATGTTTTCATACTCTGTTTTTTGTTAACTGGCCCACTTTTCATTGTAAAAAGTAGAAAGTAATAATCTGATCGCAGTACATCATGTTATCAGATGTTGGACTGCTCTGCTAGGAAAGTTCTAATTCTCTGCAATAGTTCCTTTTTTACATCATCTGGCACAAGAGCTATTGAAAGAAAAACAAATCAAGCATTAGTGTTTATGAAAATATCAAACACAAACATTTCAAACATCATTGTTATAAAATATGTAACACAAACTGTAAAACATTTTTTGCGTCTTTTCCTGTGGAGCTTGCTCATAAATTGAGACTACACTATATCTCCTAGTATTGGTACTCATCAAAATTTTGGAATTTCTGGACTGGCCATAAAAAGTTCTACAAAAATTATTGAACATCTATGATAAAACAATTGTTTAATACAATCAATCTCTTCAAACAGACCAGATACTAAACATAGCTGAGATACTAATATAATTATTTTGTTTTGGTTGTTGTTGTCATACAGAAATCAATGCTATAACATTGATACACATTTTTCAGCAAAGCTAAAAACCATACATGTACATGTATATTTGTATTATGGAACTGTTTATTTGAGCTATTACCTTTAGGATATAATGTTTATAAGAATGTACATAAAACATAGTATAAGAGTATACAACTTTATAAATTCAAAGTTTCTAAACATCAGATCATTGGAGGCGTAACAGCCTTCATTCATTACCTCTTCCTTTGGGAGTTATTTCCTGTACTAAGTCATCTACAGTAATGTGCTCCAAACCCTTTTCCTTTACAACCTCTGAAAATGACAAGTTACAGTAAAACAGATTGTAGTACTAAAAAAGTGTGAATGAAATAGTATATCACTCATAAAATTTCATGTTAATTCAGACTTAAAGTACGGATGTCAATAATAAATTTTCAAACACACCCATTTCTAGGCATGTTAAAGTTGACATGCTTTGGTATGGAAAAAGTTATCATTCATTCTATAAAACACTAATATGTAGTTAAATTTCATATTGTTGTCAATTTTTTAATTTAAAAAAAACTCAGCTTTGATCAATTTTGCATGTCAATGAGTTGGTGTCTATTTAATGGCTGACTAATTTCACCAGAATACTAAAATTTGGATTTATTTTTTACATTATTATTTGCACAGAAAAGAAGCAAACATTAACAATTACTCGGGTATGTACATTTTTACCTGTTAATATTACATTACATGAATGTTGTAATGAAGCAGATCTCAATGTTTAAAGTGAATAAATGTTTGTTGGTGCATTATTCTGTCTGTTTGGCATTTCCCACAGGTTTCTAATTTGTGCTTGATTCATATATATATATCCAGGCTAGTTCCATTTATAGCACAAAGCTGGCTTGATTGTTTGAACTTCTATCTTTGTTTTCCATCATACATATAACTACATACATCTTCTTACTTGAAGAATTCAAACATATAGTGTACTCTCAATGACACAAGCATTAAGTCAGACAAGATTCCCGACCAAAACTTCAAAAGATATTTTGTATTACTCAGTGACTCAGCCATTCAAAGTTAAGAATTATCAAAAATTATGAAAATATCCAACCAGTACTTTAGATAGTAATAACAAACTTTCACTGTCAAAATCTAATATGGCAGGGTTTTCCATAATTTTGTTAGTAGTAGGCTGTGTAGTGAAAGTAGGAGGCTGGCCTGCCGTGTATGTGTAGTCGTGTACGGAACATTATTATGGAACTGGATTGGTGTAGGCGGCCAAATGATCAAAGTAGCCGGTCAAATTGGCCGGCGACTGGCTCTTATGGAAAACCCTGTATGGCCTGTCACATCTAGGGACCAAAGGAAACCAACATATAAAGAAAAAAATATCAATCTAGTCCTTCTCAAGAAATAGTTTTTAAAAAAATTTCAGAAGAACCAATGATGGCTGCCTGTTAATTATTTACCTACTAATGAAATTTGGGAATGGTTCATCCAGTACTTACTTATATAGCCACAACAATCTATGACTGTCAAATACCAAGATGGCCACTTGGTTTTTTGACCAGTCATGAAATTGACGATGTGTGCAAAACTAGTGACGAAGGGGAACCTACATAAGAAGTTTGAGAATTATCCATCCAGCATTTCTCAAGAAATAGCAATAACAAACTAGGACTGTCAAAAACCAAAGATGGCTATCTGTCATTGATGTTGTTTTTCAGTCCCAAAATACACTAGGCACTCCTGGGGATAAAGAGAAACCTAATAGGCTACACATGGAATTTCAGAATGACCCATACAGTGCTTCTTCAGAAATATCAAAAACAATAATTGTTTAAGGATTGACAGAAGGTAGACAGCAAATGAAAAGTGATTGGAACAGCTGACCATCTGATAATGGGCTAATAAACAAAACAAGAATATAGCTTTTCTATTGATTCCTTGACAGTAATACTAAGAAGAAACTTTAATAAAACATACCTTTACAATGGGCCTTCAGCTGGTCTCTCCATCCACATTCTATAAGTCTTGTTCTCAGTAGCTCCTTTAGCCTGGACAAAGAGAATAATGACAAAGTAAAATCATGCACCCTACATAGGTGTAAAAGCCTTTCTTTTCAGGATATTTGACTACAGAAAAAGAATTGTGCTTCAAACAGAATAACTCTTTCAGAAATCAGTTGAAACACCAATGTACCATACATATTCCTGAATACTTTTTCTTGCATGGTCCAAGTAAAACTGTATCTAGAGACAAAAGGGACAGACTTCTTTGATTCAAGTATGCCTTTCTCAAAATGAAATTGGAGGGTTTGTGATGACAGTGGTATGGTAGGGCTGAGTGAATGTAAACTAGCATACAGTGTCAGTTACTGGATAAATGTTGTGGTATATCATGTGGAAAGTAGTATATATGGTGTGTTGATAATGTATCACTTGATATTAACAGATAATTTGCATAAATTAATCACACATATTTTATCTGACATTAGCAGTGAATGTATATAGATATACCCCCAGCCTATGATACTCTTCAGACCAATTAATATTGACCAATGTCCATCAATTGTAAAGTCTATATAACCAGATGCAGAAATTGATGTCACGATAATCTGGTGTGATCATTAACTAAATGAATTGTGATTAAATCATGTACACATGTTTTTTATATTAAAAGTGGTGACCTTTGAACTCTTTTACTCTTTGAAAATGACAACAGAAATCTAATCAGGTGTAGAACTTGATGATGTGATACAACGTTGAAAATATTTATAATGTATATGAATCATTATTATGTTGTTTACCTTTCTCTTTCACCAGTTTCTACCAGCTTTTGATTGATGGTTGCTCGCATCTGTGCATCTTTTATCTTTCTGTCTTGTGGGCTGTAAAAGGCAGTACAGAATTTGAGTTTGGATTCACAATTTACTGTCCACATATAAACACAATTTATTGAAAAGAACAGTATATATCATAACTGTCATGTTAAATGAGATTTTTTTCCCCTTTAATCACAAATTACTCTAAACAGTGCAGCTAGAAATGAAGTGTAAAGATAAAGTTCCTTTACTATACATTAACATATAAAACAAGGGATAGTAGACTGCTTCCTCTTTGACTTGTTTCCAGACCCTGGATTGTATCACACATATGTAATTTTTCATTATAGAGTCAATATATATATTTTACAGGGATTATTTGCATATTCTTGTCAACAAAACGTCAGAGTCCTTGAGTCGGATTTCTGTGATCTGATACTTTGCTTAATCAATATATAACAAAACAAATATAATATAAAATCCAATAATCCAATCTTATTTTGTTCTTCTGAATATCTGTTCACAACCTTGATCCATTACTTTTCTTCCATTACCGATAATGGCGGTACAATAATGCCAGAGTTTCAACAGGCTGTGCACATATATTTGTTTACCCTGATCAATGCTGGTTTCATAGCTAATAAAGTTCAAATGGGTTCATGGGTGGGTGTTAACTTCAAAACAAATAACTGATTGATTTGGTACCCGATTTTATAACTATAGATTGGAATGACTTAGGAACGACATCAAGAATGCATGTTACAGTTGTCAAATGTAACCATTCATTGTTTGTCAGTTTCCGTTTATTGACGGAGTTGAATCGATCTAATTCACGCTCAGGTTACTTTAACTATTACTTGTTTCATTTAATATTAGCATACAACTGCCCTAAAATACATAAAACATTGACATTGTTGAAAGTTTGAGCGAAAACGTGCAAGAAATATTTACTTACTCCGCCATGGTGGTGACCTCTTTGACCTGGTTATAGGACGAATACGATTGGTTAGAAAATAGGGATCAGACAGACGCTTTATGCTTCCGCTATGACTGCGTCGAAGGGGTCGTCTCAAAAAAAACTTTTCATGCACAAAACTTTAAAACTCTGATGTTATTTGAAATAATAATGAAAGCGCTAACATGGTTATTAGCACGGTTACAACTTGTAATAAAAACTGCGTCCATCAACGAGACATGTGTTTCGAGGTTTTTAACCGAGTCCATTATCCATTGCATATTCATAGAATCTGAATGGTATCATCAATTTTGTAATGCAAAATTTGATTTTCCTAAGGTATCTGTTCCAAGTGTTACGTCCGTCCGCTGTCCGTATTCACTCTGCTTTTCAATCGTCCCTCTGTCCGAAAACAATCATTTTCATCGCTATTTCTATTGGTCTCTAGTTATACATTATCCTTGTTAGGACTGATCGGAATATTAGAACAGAGACGTATATATCACAATGTGATATATACGTCTCTGATTAGAATGACCAGCTTTTCTTGACAATCATGTTTTGTTGTATCTCTATTTTGAGACGTACTGAATATATCGTTCTCAAATCCATATTTTGGTTGTCCTCCATCCTTATTATTATTTTTTAATGTTTTAAGGCACACGTCGATTACTATTCAATGTCTAAAGTCATTCCTAGCCTCGAACACAGCCGGACATTTTTAGACTATGTCTTTCTTTTCAGATGTGTAAATAGTACTTTAGTGTCCATATTTAATCAATCAAATGTGTTTTTAGTGCCAGGTGGTAATCCGCGGTCATTTCTTTTCAATCAGTTTTACTGCCAGAAAAGTGGAGTAAACACTCAAAAGAAAGTTAAAAGAGACACTGGTTTAAATAATGCAATATTAACTCTCTTCATTTTGCACCAGACTTTGATATGTTTTGTTTATCTCTGGCAGAGTTGAAGGTAAATATAAAGAATACTTTTCATCGCAAGTTCCATTTGCATTTCCCAAGTATATCCTTTAGTCTGTGTTGCATGTATAACAGTGATATTTTTTATTTGTGTTGTATTGTTGTTCTCCATTCTGTAAGTTGTCCTTTGGGTCTGTAGAATTGGAAATAAATGAATAAGATATTTGACACCTGCTATCATTTTTTCTCGAAGAGTACTTGATGAGCCTCGAACCATATGTAGGTTCCCCTGTACTAGTTCCTAGTGTTTTTCTTTTTATTAATGAAGTGACTTGATGTCTCAAGATTTCACATGCAGAGCATTGAGAAAGAGGACTATTGAGGAACTTTGGTCCCCAGGTCTAGCAATCGTTTTAGCCAATTGTGATTGTCCTAATTTGCTTTCTGTTTAAAGATTTCCACATTTATGGCTCCTAGAATTACTGCTGAGACCAATATGGACTAAACAGTTAAATTATGTGATTATATACTGCATTTTCTATTTGCATTGAAAGATACTATTCACCTGTGTGAATTTTTTACAATCCTTTGACATAGGGTTGGGTTGTGAAGGAACATTGTGAAGGCGTATGACCGTATTTATCGCTAGCCCTCCACCTCTAGGACATTAGTACCAGGCAGGTGCATGGTACTGTCTGAAGGTTTTTCTCTGGGAACTCTGGCTTTCCTCCACCCCTCCACCCTGGCACATCCTAAATGACATTGGCTGTTAATAGGACGTTAAAAGAAAGATGTAATTGGTATAAGGGTAAACTTCGCCAGTGGACTGTAGTCGCCAAGCCCTCCACAGAAATCTACATGTCATATTTATCATACCCCCCAGATCAGTTTTCCTAAGTTGCCTTCTCAATAACACTTTTCAGGTCCCTGGCATCACTAAGGAATAGCTGTATGGCACACTTAATTGCATTGAAAGCTGCTATCCACTTGTATGTTTTTAGTGCACTTGTTTGACCGACGAAGTTCAAAGTAGACAAATGTGTTAAAATAATTTCCAAACGTTTTCTGAATAGACAATCATATTTGGTTGGTAGAATGATGGATTGAATGAAGGGCTAACAAAGTTTGTTCAAATAATGACTCAACATACTTCCAATGTCAAAACAGTCAAATGTTTTTGGCTAAATATGGTTAAAATCCACCAGAAAACTTCTTAAGCAGAAAATGTAAAATGTTTACAGGCCACAATGTAGTGACTGTTTGGGCAAGATGTGCTAAAAACAAATGAGAAATAAATAAATAAAAGTCCAACAGAAGTTGTAACAACAGTTTACTTACAACAACAGAACTATACATTTGTATTAACAGATCAAAAAGGCCAGAGCCTTATAACTATGATGTAAGTATCAACACATTGTAATATATATGGGGGTTATCATGATGAAAAAGACATTTCAAAATGTCAATGGCTTAATACACATAATGAACGAAAATGAAAATAGATTGAGGCAACTTCTGACACAGTAGAGTTTTACCAATATATAACTTGTTGGTATTCAAAAGCACTTGAAAATTATCATAATAAAATGTGTTCATTACCAGTTTATGTATTCACTTTTCCTAAATCAGTTAATTCCATGAAGAGTTCATTTACCATGCACATGTTACAAGTGAAATCCATACCAGCTAAAACCAAATAAAGAATTTTACTGGTCATCTTTCATCACTCCAACACATTTAACTTTTAAACTATTATTTCTGGCGATGTACTTCCTGTATATACCATCCATGATAATGATACAGAAACAGTTTTATGTTGAATCCTAAATACAGAATATACAGGAAGTTTAAATCAATTATCAAAACGTACAATAAACACTTCCGAAAAGTATGGAATTGAAGTGTTTTAAAGACAATTTTCCCCTGATGTGTGACAGAGACTGTAGATGATTACAGTGTGTCACTGAAAATTAAATACATAGGTGGTAACAAGAAATACCAATGTTTCCAACAAGTGAAACATTTGCACTCTAAAACCTTTTATTTCAAGTGTTTAATATATTTTAATATTACTATAATTTCTTTCAAAAAGTGGTGCATGCTTTTAAATGTAACTCTTTAGAAACCATAATTTCACACAGCCACTATATGTGAACATATGTGATGTAGGGGTGTGGGAGGGTTTGGGTGGGTGGGGGGAGGAGGGAGATAATTAATACAAACTGTTTAAGAAAAGGCAATTTAGGCCTCATTCATGAGTACACAACAGTGAACAGTTATTTGCATTTAATGAAAGAGCTTGACCATGTAAAGGGTTAATGTTCTTAAAATTTACCTAAGGGAGGCTACTCTAACCAGAACTGTTGGTATACACCTTTAATTACCCAACTGCAATAATGATCAATGTGGTTAATTTTTTTCTCCAAACACAACATTATCAAAAATATCTCCTGTTTTGGATGAAGTGTATATGAGATCTATTTTTGAACACATCTGACATACAGGACTGCAGCACACAGTATATATATTGCTTCACTACAAACCTAAATGACCTTGGTCCAACTTCTTCACCATAACCAAACGGACAAGTTAGTAAATAGGATGTTTTCATTTATAACATCACTCCAACATATGATTGGTATTAATTTTGAGTACCAATACTATTATAAAGGTAAACAATAAATTGAGTTCATCCTCATCCCCTCTGTTACGCAGAAAAAAAAAGTTTGGTAAATGAACTAAAAAATATACGAACGAACGGTCATAATATCAGAGCTATATCAACACATAAAGCGCCATGAGATAAGCTCAGGTTCAATATATGGCACAGTGTTAATGAACAAATAAAGGTCAACTTGCTAAACATATTTCTAATATTATGATACAAAATATATCTTCACTTACTATATCAATTCTGCAAGATGTAAATGAAGGGATGGGGGTTGGTGGAGTGTTTTCAGGTTGAATACATAATCTATGAATGAAAAAGTATGGATATGGACTTAATAATGTAGTATGTATTGGCATTAGTGCTGAAATTTCAATATGGATAGGCTTGGGAGACAAATAAATAATCTTTTGTTCACAATGATATTCAATTACCTAGATTTTTTCCCTAAAAGATTACTATAGGATGATTATGATAGCACCATATGTCATATACACCATATAACATGTTACAGTGCTCTAATGTAAAAAAAAAAAAAAAAAAAAACTGCAAATGAAACACAGAACAATGCTGTTGGATGGATCATTTGTATATGAAAGTATCAATAATTATGCAGTTTTTTCATAATATTTGAACAAAATAAACAAAGCACACATATTTCAATGATCGAATTCTTAAACAGGTGTATTTCAAGAAACATTTTGATAATTTTAAAACCATGGGAATGTTTCATTTGCATGCATATTGGAGCTAGCAATGCTATTCTTCCTCTCAACAGCTAGCTAACAGGACAAGGGTTCAATGGAAATTATGAAGTTAATTTTATACATGTGTAGTAAATCCTCCTGAACTTGACTAGTCCTGGAATGTAAAGTTACTTTTGTGCTCCTATTTTGCAGGGAGGACAAACTGTACAGCTATATGTATTAAGGATGAGAGATTCTGGTCAGAGTGAGAAGCAATGGGTGTGGACCTAGTGTTAGGAGCAGTGGGTTAGGATTTATCATTATGCTCTGCATTAGAAAGAGCAAATCATGACCAAATAGTTCACTCCATTTTGTGGAACAGACAATATAATGTGGCATATTTGAAAAAAATACAGCAAGTGTGAATAATGTGTACATCTTGATTCAAACCAAAGTGGATAAGAATTATAAACCTACAATCTTGCATGATACTGAGGCATGTATCCATCTCTCAGCATGGGCTAATTACATGTATCTAAAATTAAGTGTATACAAATGTGCAACAAAAAACATGTCAACACTTGGGGCCTAAAAATCTAATACTATGCAAAACAAAATACAAACATCAACCTTTTCTAGTCATATTGGGCTAATGTTATTTACAGTGATTTCCTAATAATTTATTTTTCTAAACAAACACACGGAGCTGATTTAAATGTACAATAATATTGCTGGTCCATGTATTAGAAATGTTTTTTGACTTTAATCCAAAATAGTTAATAAAATTTTACGATCAAAACATTCACATAAAAAAAAAAAATTAAAATATGTATTAAAAGAAAATCTTGTAGTAAATTCTTAAAATTTAAGCTTAACTTTTTTTTTCAATTTACACAAATGAAAATTAAATAGCTTAAAAAATCACACTATATTATGGGGGTATCATGATAAATTTAATACAAGAACAATGAAAAGAAAATGAAAATCCGACAGAATACATACTTGAAGGACAGAGCATTTAAAGAAAAAATATCACAGTTTAATAGTTCATACAGAACATCATAGGCTTCTGTTTTTGTCATGAATGGACCCTAAATTAGACCATTTCAAACAAATATTCATTTTCACAATTCCAATTTTCAATAAATTTCTGATTTCTTTCTTGATTGCTAATCCTCGACAAATCAACAACTTCGAATCATCACACTGAAAATAAGTATTCATCACAAACAAGTGGGTTACAGTATTCAGACTTTTCTCCCATCTACATATGTAATGGAGATATATCCCTTTGGAAGCAGTTTTACAAAGCAAATTTTCTAAACAAAGTTTCATATAAATATGTGCCATTCTTAAAAACTCCCTTTCACCTAAAAGCCCGTTCACAATGAGACATTTATCTAAATACAAGATCACAATGCAGTTGAGATTTGATCAATGCTAAATCTCTTTTAAGTAAAAATATTGAAACTGTTGTCCAATTTCCCCTAATGATTCATGCTAGTTATCACAAACTTTCACTAAATCCTTCCACAGCATACACACTGGTATAAAGTCTACAATTTCCACAGCTTGTTTGCATCATTATCATTTCGGACTGCCATATTTTTTCTGCAAAGATCCATGGCTGCCAACATATTGACTATTACAGTGAGTGGGTTAAGACAATGAAATATTTTTTGTTTGTAAGTCTAAGAAAAAACTGGATGGGCTTACTTTGAGGCATAGATGTATTGCCAAATTTTACATGGCATTACCATCATTAGCTTGATGTGGTATATGGTTGATTATCCTGCCTTGAAGTTTGTTTTGTCACCCTGTGAACGTAATTTTGAGGTAAGTTCTCTATGCAGTGACTGTTTGTCAGTTACCTCCCTGAACAACACACGGCATGCCCATTGTATGCTGTTCAGAATAACTTTTGGAAATTTTCTTGTCCAAGACAACAACAATGTCGGTAAAGACAGGCCTGTTTCTCAACTTCCGGAGAAACACAAACAGCATGGAGCACTGTACCACATATCTCAGATCTTCACGCACTAACCGAAAAAATTATTGCAATGCCTGCACAAACCATTCTGCATGATGCCATTTACACATACATAAAATTTTAACACAAACTTAACACATGATACTTACAATCCAGCATGTATACAAGCAGGTATCATTTTTCTGTTTTCTGCCCTATTTTGTAGGTATACTTTCCATGGAATTTGATTATTTCTCAAACATATAGGAAAGTCTCTGATCTGATATAATCCTGTGCTTTTATGCACTTGGCTATGACCTCAAAGACAAGCACTTGAAGATGTTAATATAAGTCCAAGAAGGTAACTTGCTACCAGTCATTCTACTGTAGGTATTTTAAAAGCATTTTTCAACAACCTAAATGTCTAAAAAAATTGTTCATATTGTATTGAAAACAAGATGGCAGAGAATTCTCTAGATTAAAGAGGCTCTTCTACAAACCCTCATCATAGAAAATATTGACCAAGTTCTATCTGTCTGCTAAATTGTCATATGAAACCAAACTAGTGATTTCAACATCCAGAAGGTGAAATTCTCTTCAGAGCTGTATTGATTTCTTTGGTTGATAAATAGTATGATTTACCTCAGAATGTCAATCAAGATGGCAAGGTATTATTTCAAATGTTTTGATTATAAATACTGTTTTAAAGTTGCCTGTGATATTCCAAAACATAGCTGCGCATACATGACAGTTAATCATGTCAAGGTCAATCTCAAGGTCATAAAAATGTGAAGATGCTGTGGAGTACATTATTCTAGGCCATATTTGAAAACATCAAACATGATTCCTTTTCTATCAAATTAACTTGTAAGTTAAATAATTAAGCATACCATTAAAGACAGACTAAAATGAATATGGTGCTCCTTTCATAAAGTCGAACATTCCAGCTTGACCACTAAATCTTAAACAAGCAATGACTGCTAGAGATTCGTTGTTAATGTAAGCACTCCGGTGAGCGATGAACACAATGATGATGAATATTACTGGCAGTTACTGAGTTGAAATGGCTTCAGTGGCAGTGTAACAACTTCTAGCACTATTGTGTCTGTAACATGGAGGTTCATACCTCACTGTTCAAGCCTTGTGTTACGAATATCAGTACAAGGCAAGAGTTCCTATATTATATAGGGTCTACATGTGCCTTTCATGTAAAGAACTATTCACATGAGACTGGTTTGACCAAAACAAGCTGCCTTCTGTGTTGCAGAAACACAGAGCTATTTGTGTCTAGAATTGATTTCCAGTACAATCCAGTGTCTCTTGAACAATAAAGGCACCATGAGGTAGATGTAGCTCAAGCTCTATCACATTGTTAACAAAGGAACATCAAAAAGGTCACATGCTCCCTCACTGTCATCAAGGTTGAAGTAGTAATCTCGATCACTAGGGGGTGGGCTTAACCTTAACAGTGGTGCAAATGCTGAAAAGAAAAAGAATATTTCCATTAGTTTGTTAAAGATAAGATTATGTGAACATTTTCATACAAATTCAAGTGAAATTAATAACAAATACTATATAGTACAGGGTTAGAAAAATCCACTCGTCTGCTTGTCTAGAGTCAAAGCTTCTTGCAGGTGATTTGTTTCAGCTACTTGTCCGACGGGCAAGTGAAATTTGTAGCTCAGACTATTGAATATTCCATAATAAATGACGTTCATCAACTTAAACACCCTTAAAACTAATTTAAATCCACTGATAGTCGATCAAATACATCGATGAAGTATCCTTGTTTACACCACATTTCAAGACTCGGGCTGATCCAGACTACACAAAAACCTATTTCGTCACCACAAATGTTGTAAACAAGGTTGCTTTGTGTACGTAGATACTGTCAAAAAGCTGATGTTCTCGCTCGCGTTAACAGTGAATTGAATATTAGTAAAACAATAAAAGCAAGTTTTGAGTTCAAACATTTGATATAGAAATTGATGATAAAATATGTGTTCCTTAAATTACATTTTGTTGCCTTTTTTCTTCGGGTGAGTGAATATTGGATTCGGGCAAGTGAATTTCAAGTTTCACTTGCCAGACAGACGAGTAGCTGAAATGTTTTTTTTCTGGCCCTGTAGTATACTTTTATATACGCAGTACATGTGTTAAAATTTATAGATTAATTATTGAGGTTTCCTGGAAATATTTAATATCTGTAGTTGTAGTTACAGTAATATTATGATGCGGGTTTAGTTCCCTATTTATGAAATATTATCTAAATGAATATAACGTTGGCCCTTACACTGCATCTCATTAGACTTTGAAAAGAAATTTTCATTTGTTTGTTTGACTTCTCATTCAGTAAAATAGGTATCGTCACTTTTACCTAAATAATCATTTTTATTTTAGATGTACAAAATGTAATAAAACATGTTACCCCCTCCTGTCCCTGATAACAGTTAGTGAAGACTATAACAGAAACAGAACTAGGACTTTACCTTCAGAGGACATCAACTCTTCTATCAAATCACCTTCCATGTCACCTGTAGAAATAAAAAAATACACTGTTATAAAACTATTGTGATACAAAGTTATACCAACTTTTGACTCCTTTCCTTAAATGTACAAGTTTGTTAATAGTGTCACTAATAGAACTGTATGGAGTTTTACTGAACTTTACAGTAGTCTGTGCCTGAATAAAATCTGGGAAATAAAAGTGAAATTTTTTTCAGAAATGGAGACACTCCTGACTTTTTTTCATTTTGGGATAGAAACTATGCGGGAATCAGCTGAGAAACAGGGCCTAAACACCACTTTGGATCCTTGACAGGATTACAATACATAGACAACAAAGATTGGTATATAAGACAGGTACTTACCAAAGGTATGTTTACCAAGGTCTGAGCGGTAAGGGTCGAGGAGGACATCACTAGGGGGCGTGTCCATTGATGGAGCTTGTTGTGTTGCAGCAGATGTGGAAGCTATAAAGTAAGATGTAATAATAATGAAAAGGTTTGGTTTAGACAAATGTAAACCTAAAGTATAAAACATTAACCTTTAAAAATAACCATCGGACTTGCAGAGTAATTGCCTGGCTGGTGATTACATATAAAACCCGGTTTTACTTTTTTTTAATTGAAATTTTTCATCAGGTAATAATAATATGAAACAAAAAACCAAAAGAAATCCTTATTATACATGGTGTCACATTTTCTGGTCGTAGGTTGACTGTTACCATGCCTACCTATAGGTTGTCCAAGGCCAGATTTGCGTGGTGATGATCTAGTTGCCATTCGTGTAGTTGGTGCAGTAACATCTACTACTGGTTGTGACTGTCGTAGGGGAGACTTTACAGGGGAACGCTGAAATGGTAACGAAAGTGAGCAGAGGTTCTCATAAATACTCCTGTTATATTCATTTTTTTCTGGTGATTTAAATCTTTTGAAGGGAAATCTATTAATAGGTTTAGGAGATATCTTTTTTATTTCAGAAGTGGTCAAGAACAGATAAATCTGGATATAGTTTCTTAATATGATTAATTTAACAGACATGATCCTGATCAAAACATAATGATTACAGAAAGGCACCTGTCAATGCTTTGTATACTGTAGAGTAATTTGTAAGTAGAAAACTGTAGTACAAATCCAGTAATTGTAGTATGTAATTGATATTTTGAATTTATTGAATAAACATAAATCATTATATTTCATTTATATATGCTTATGTAATGTATTCAGTCTTTGTTTTAGTTTTACATATGTGTATAACACGAGTTGTATAATCAGCTGTCTTACTGAAATCCTTTCTCATTATACTGCTAAAATCCACATTTGACAGAAAGTGGCAGTATATTGTGAAGCTGCTGTACTTATGGCAGTATATATGGGGACTACTTTATAAAACTTTCTAATCAATACAAGTGGAATTCCAAACCATCTTTACCTTTTGCAATGATTTTCCCTTGCCAGACACTGATGTCTGGTTTGGGTCTACATTTTGGTTTTGAGCAACGGCAACCTGGTTCGCCACTGGGTCTTCCTTTGGTGGAGGTACTTGAACCACAACAGGACTTGTGTTATCTGTGTCTTTGTTGACAAGTAGTACATGGATTGGTCCGGACTGGCTTTTCAAATGTATTTGATAATTTTTCTTAAAACCAGGACCCTGAAAGCAATCAATATTTTTAGTGGTAAAGGGACATGCATTCATTTTACACAAGTACCTTTTTCCACAACACACTGGTTTACAAAAGTCATCTGGAGAACTGCAATTCATATATTCATATTTCAAAAGAATTCAGTTTCTAAAATTTTTAATGCAGCCTCAATCATAGATTCAGATATGTGTATCTTTTTTTTAAGATAGGTATATTAATTTATGTGTCAACAAATAAATCTGTTCAGAAATTGAAGTCCTCACAGAAACGTCATTACAAGAAAAGCACATGTAAATGTGAAAACTTTCATCTAATTTTCTCCATTTTGATTTAGTTGATATTGTGTGCACTGGTTGAACAATCATATTGTTTTTCAAAATTGAAACTCACAATTTCTGGTATGGGAACTTCCAGCTGTGTTCCTGAAGGGGCTTGGATAGCTAGCAATGTATCACCTTTAAAACACTTGCATATGTCTTCATGTGTTACATAAGCTAATCTGACGAGAGTTAAGGCAGTCAATAGTTACAATTGTTATAAAGTACAGGCACAATCAGTATCATTTCAAAATTAAGTCATATATTCCTTTATGCTTAAATGTTGCCATTAATTTTCTAAGGATTTAGTGAAGAAAATTCAGGGAACAGTTTCGTGAATTATGCCTAGATGGTGTCCAGAGATGATGAGGCATCTAGAAAATGAAGCTCGACACTGTATCAGACATTTGGCAGTCCTTGCCACACACCCAATTAAAGCTGCCCTCAAGCACAGGACACAACCAGTACCAATCTAAAGAGTCTTAGATAGGGGACAGAACCAATAATATAAAATACAAAGGCCAGCTACTCCTGAGTGAGGTGATAGGTAAATATCAATATTGGAATCATTTATAGCAATTAAGCCAGGGTATAAATGTTATATGTATAAACATTTGGAATCAAAGGATACTTTGTATTGGTGACTTCATCTGTGACATTCTTTATACTCTGCTGAACCCATATCTTGTGTTGATCTAGTTCTGCCTCTTGTTGTTCTAGTTCAGCGATTTCATCTTTCAGAATCACTAGTCTGTCTGCAATTTCCCGTGACCCTCTGAAAAATTACATAGTTGCCCTTAACACGTGTATCATACTGAAAGCAGCAGTCTGAGCTTCAAAATTTTTTGAATTGACAAGAGTTACTGACAATAATAGACACTTTGACTATGATACTGACAAACTCATTAAAAAGATACTTAATGAAATTCCACAAAAGCAAATTTTACATATATCAATGTTGTAACTATGACAAAATGTTAGAATAGTCAAATTTGAAAGCATATATGTGATATCAAATTGTCAAGATACCTCTCTGGAGTACTTGGAATACCATCTACTGTTGGGTAGCCAGGACATGATCCTCTGCAAGAAACACAATAGCATTCAACTCATTGTCATCATACAAGTAATTAGTCTATAAATTTTGAAAGGTTTTAACCACATTTTTCACAAGCTGCATACTCTAAATAGTTAAGAACAACAAGTTTGATGTCAGCAACTTCTCAGTAAATTTGGTATTCAATGAGACTGAAGCACAGCGACTGTTCCTCTGATGTAATGTTGAATAGGACTTGCTAATTATCACCTTCACAGCTTAAAGACAGGTGCAAACTTTTGACGGCTGTTCAACTTACATACATACATTTTGAAAGGGTGTGTTAACTTACTTCCACTGTATACTGTTTTTAGACTTTTTCTCTATCAAACCAATTCCCTCCAAAACATTAGTTATGTCGTAGATTCTTCTCTTCTGTCGCACAGCAAGAGTGTCAGCAGCCTGAAATGTACATCAGAACTGTTGATATAAAGTATATAATACAAGATCATATTCTGAACATAGGCAAGTGGGGGGTTGATTCCTTGAAAACTGCAAAGAAAAAAAACTCTTGATTCATGGCTTGGTTGGTACCCATAAAGTGAAATGTGACACCATAACTATAGTATTTGAACTACAAAATGAAACTAGAAGACTGCCAATCTGTTCTTTAATTTGGTCATTACTTTTGATATAAGAGAACATAGTGAATATGAAAGGTGTGAGAGAACAAGTGTGGAAAAGTTATTAGCAATAGGGATTTTAATGATTGAAACTGGTTGATGATATTCTTTATTACATTAATGGAAAAAACAAACAACAATTATATGGTTTTTACTTCCAAGAAGACAAGAAATTCCAAAACAAGGTCTAACATAACATAAAACCTCACAAAGCCCATTAATCTCTCAACTATCTGAATTTCCAAAATGTTGTTGATGATGACCAATTTACTTTCACTTTCATTTTGGTGACTTTGTCAATATAACAGACAATAATGAGTATCTCTGTAATAATAATCACTTAATTGCATCTGCTGGCCAAGAAATTAAGTGAAATCCTAAATACTTTCCGCTCATGGAAATTCAGTTTTGGTAAATTTTGTGACAATGAGCTTTTTCACCCATGTGGACAAACTTGCACATTTTGAAGCAGCATGAGTTTCAAAATTTTCTAAATTGTCAAGTTTTATTGACAGTAAAAGATACTTTGACTGTGATAATGACAAACTTGTTTGAAGATATTATTTTAAAATGAAATTCCATACAAGCAAGTTTCTGGATACCTGGCTGATAATGAGTAATTTGCATCATAGATCCTTTAACCTACATACAGTTCCTCTACAATGAATATCAATGTCACATGACCAATAATGAGTCATTTAAAATAAAAAAAAAAAATCAATGCAGTGAGTTTTGGGCCTCAGATATTTTAATCCTGTATAATTGTTGTTCTTGTTGAACTCGCTCAAATTTTGAGCTATTTGTATTGTGACTCATCAAATTTTGAGAACTAGTGTTCTAATACACATGAAAATTTAAGAATTATCTTATAATTTTACTGTTCAGATAGTGAAATGGATCTACAACATGCCCCAAATAGCCTGACTGAACAGTTTTGGTATGTTTCAGGTAGTACGACAGAACTTGGCGTTGCCAGGCTGTAATTAGTATAAGTGGTAATGATAGTGCAATTGAATTTCGAAGTTGAAGCGGAGTGGAGGAAAAGCACACTAGAACGACTTAGAAATAGCAAATTATTAGGTCTAAAATGACTTGTAAAGCAAAAAAAAAATCATTTTTCTTTTGAAATGAACTCAAATTTGTGTGGGTATATGATAGTGCAATTGAATTTCTAACTTCCCATAGTTTAATGCTGACAGGCCAATAATCAAAGTTCCGATTATAGCATTATTTATCAATTTTACTTACATTTAAATAACCAGCGATGTCGTGTTAATACCTCTCTTTGAAAAATCCATTATAAAATCCAGGTTGATAAGAGAAAACAGCACATCTCCGTGGATAAGCTGATACAACATTAGAACCGAAATTATAAATACCACGTGAAATAGCAAATTATATATTTAGCAAACTATTCCGCTCTAAAATGACTTAATGTAAAGCAAAAAAAAAATCATTTTTCTTTTGTTGTCAAAGTATTAAGAAAATAGACATAAAATTGAATCAAATTTGTGTGGGTATATCGCCGACCAGCGTCCTCTTATGTTATAGGAGTAATCGCAGGATTAATTCACCGCATCCATGGTGGATGGGTTTCTATCACTTTTATGAAAAAGTCCATTCTGTATCTAAAGTAAGCGTAGTCAATAAAAATGTGAAAATCAATAACAGCACAATAAATGTGGAAACTGACATTGAATTATTATTTAAGAGACTGAAAGTTTTGGTCTAGCTCTGGGAGGGACAATACTAGGAACCCTTAGAAATTCCATGTGGAGGGATAGGGGATTCAGAACACTAAAGTGAAAAAAAAAATAATTGAAATATTATTAAAGCTATGCCCCAAGTCAAAATACAGCAATCTTACATTGATCAAAATAATTACTGTCTTAAGGCCGGTCTGGCACTACGACAAGACATGATTGAAAGTGAAATACCATATTTAAAATTTGAATTGATATCATAAAATTTGTAATTAGAGAGGTCATGACCCGGCATTCCTTTTATTTAATGACATGGACATGTGTCAATATAACTACATAAATATTTTTGAACCTCATAAATGGCATGCATGTGTGAAATTCATAACAATTTCTAGATACGACAATACACGCCACATGAAGTGGTATTATGATGACAGCTCCAACTGAATATAACGAACAAAAGCATAAACAAACATGGATACATGCTTTACGTGGGGTCTCCGATTCACATATCTGATTCGTGTAAGCATGCAATAAAAATATAAACGCAACCTACTACTTTCAGATCTAGAACTCCGTCTTTGGCCTCTTGCAGTAATGAAACAAACTTAGTTGTAAGGAGTCCCAAGCTTTTCTCATGTCGGCTCGGGGTGGAATGGTCAGCCATCGTGGTTTGCAGCCGTTGGGACTGAATCCTGGGAAATATCGCGAGAGCAAGGTGCGAGTTACATCCGGGCTATTCAATAACCGAAATACAGTCGCACTCAGATAACTCAATTCCTATAAGGAACAGTGTCAAAAGCGAGCAGCGTTTATGTTTATAGATGTTATGGACGCGACTCTGTCTAGGATAGGAACATGGAGCCCTATCAAATTCTGAAGTACGCGATTTCAGAAAGATTCAGGCGCAGCAGCGGTAACTTCTTTAGTCATTTATCAGTCTTTACACAATCAATTGACACTAACGTAAATCAAATTATTGATCCCTCAATTAAGCTGACCAGGGGCACGCCCCCCTTTTCCCACACAGCAACAGGTTGCAGCTGTTTACAAATTAGGCTGTTCAAGCAGGTGTCCCATATTAGAATACACAATTACTTCAGGCAACCAACCCCTTCAACTATCAAAACAGATATAGTCAATTCTATATGAGAAAAGACAGGTGCATACACCTGAAAAACGAAGACGTGGTCATTGAAGGCCTTTTTGACTTTCCAACAATCATTTGAATTTAGATTTAAGTCGTTGATCAAGCTGTATGCACGGACATTAACCCAACATCATTGTTTATTTATATTCTTAAATCTGGTATAGTCATTAAATGCAGTTATGGACCTGAAGATTTCTCAAAATTTATTTAGGCATTACCAGCTGGCTGGGCATCAAACAGAGGACACTAAACATTTTAACAGGCCTCATTGCATTTACCCTTATTGGTAACAATCTATGAATACATATTTTACTGCAGTGTTTGGCAATAGACCGTCATCCTGATCAAAACGCTTTAAAGAAAGCATCATCTCAGTTCTCGTCATTTGACATTATGATATTTAACCTTACCAAATTAAATAGCAAAACACTAAAAATATAAAAGATGAAAAGGAAAAAGGACAAAATATTACCTCGAAAATCACTGATTTGAATTATTTCCAATGAAGTAAAGAATGAGAGTTTTGATGATAATTTAATGATACCAAGTTTAAAAACTTTTAATACAGTAGTTTTTGCAGGGTTTTTGAGGAGAGAGTTATGTAGTTGTTATACTGGTCTGTGAGATATATAATCATATCATATTTTACAGCATATGGAAAATAACTCTATTCTGATATTTAGGTGTTTTTCTTATTAGTTTGTACATACATCTGGATAAGTTGATGGGACATGTTTTGAAATCATAACCCAGATTGAAGTGGCATTTTCTGTACTTTGAAAGTTTCATGAAACATGTTATTTCAAACATTCGAGGTACACTACAAGAGTTCAGACAGATTCCAAAATTTAAGTCCAAAGAGATATAGTGAGGTTTCAAAAGTATGAAACCAGAACTCAGATGTATGGAGTCTAAAAAATTGCTGAATTTCATTAAAAATTCCCCATATCAAGTAAAATCTGTGGATGAGATTTAAGTGTTAAGAAAGAGAAGAAAAATGGGCAATTAGGAAAACATGTCATAGTTGTAAAGCCTTGAAAGTTTCACAGAAATTTATTGAAAAGTGGAAGGAGAGCTCAAACACATTTAAAAACTGCTGAAAAACCCAAGGGCAGTAACTCTTCCTAAAAATGTCTGATAAAATGCTTACCAGGGAAATATAATATACCAATAAGTCATGACAAATAAGCCAGAAAGTTTGAAAAAGATTGGTTGAAAACTGTTGGATAGATATCTGACAAATGCCAATACAATATGGGTGCCTATGATTTTGAAATTATTGTGAATACTGAAACCCCATCTCCCCAACTTTATTATAGTTTGATAAAAAAAGACCTGGTACATATGATCAAGTGCAAAAGAAAACTTGTCTGTTGTTTGATGTAGATTACCATTCACTATTGTTCCTTCCAAGATTGAAAAATAATTGTACATACATTACAATAATGTTATTTAATGCGTACCTAAAGATGATTTGTAGATGATTTGTAGTTCTTGACAACAGATTCATCATATCATTTCAGACATAACATAAAAAGATGCCATATCATTGATGGGACTTACCTCCAGCAGCTGAGACAACATGGTGTCGAGGTGTGACAGCTACCGTCCAATCAACTCATGCTGGGGGTATGGACAACAGATGGACAACTCACATTCCACCATACAGAAGTTGAGTACCCTTTACTGTGACCCAGAGATGAGCGACCTCCAGCTAGTTGTAGGTGATAAGGTGTTCCACACCCATAAACTCATTTTAAGCATATCCAGTGATGTGCTCAAGACCATGTTGACCAGTCCAACATGGCCTGAATCCTACAAAGACCAGATTGTTCTGCAGGAGGATCCCGAGTGTGTTGAGGTTTTTGGAGATTTTCTACATTACCTCTACTCAGGCCGAATACACATGAGTCACCTGACTGTTTTACCAATTCTGTCTCTTGCAGACAAATATAATATTGGTGACCTTTCATCCCTTTGTATAGATTACATGTGTTCGCATTGTGTGGCAACCAAACACACCAGTCGTGTCCTATCTTGGTACACATATGCAACAATGTGTGGACACAAACAGTTGGAGCGTGTGTGTGAAGAATACATTGTGTGGAATTTTCAGTTTGTCATTGAAACAGATGACTTCTTGTCAATTTCACCCGACATCCTTGTGCATTTCTTCCGATCCCCAGATATTGTTGTGAAAAGTGAAATAGCATTGTATCAAGCTGTTAAAAAGTGGGTGATAAAGAAGCTTATGATCAAGGAAAAAGACTTCAGTGAATCTACTAAACCTGTCAGCTCGGCTGCGACACTGTTTGTTGTAAGAAATATAGGACAACATACTCGATTCACTCTAATGACCTACACTGAGCTTAAGTCACTACAAGAGGACAGCTTAGTGGAACATTTCCCTGAGATCCTAGCATCTCCTATAAAGGCAGCATTACAAGTTCATATCGCTCAAAGAAATCTTGCTCATAGAACTGATACAGATACTCATACTACCAATGGCAGCTCATCATTATCATGTCAAAGTTTCAAATCAGATGATCACGTTTCCCCATCCACTATCCATGTACAACATGAAGGAAATGATGTCAAAAAGAGTTCAACAGTGAACCCTCAAGATGACAGTCCACCTGGATTGGCCGATGTTGGGTCAGTTCATGTTTATAGTGCTATATTACCAATCAATAAATACATTACCAAAAAATTTGATGATTTACCCTCACACAATCAAAGTGCTCATCATGATGATATTTCTCCATTGAAAAGCCTTTCACCTGAGCCTATTGCTGCAATCAGACGTGATTTCCCACGCATCTACACCTGTGATTCCTGGTGTACAGAAATGGTAGTGTCAGAGGTAGGGGAGATAACTCCTGGAGACGTCTTGGGAGCATTTTTCTCAACGCCTGTAACTGGATGTGAGGAAGACGATAGTTCTTATTGGGACTGGCACATTGACCTTTACCCAAAGGGTGTGACCTTCAAAAAGTGCATGATGATTGGTATGCTTGAGAACAGGGAAATTGATGAAGTGCTTTATGAGACTGTACGACTAACTGTTACTTCAAACACATCTGAGGTCCGGAAAGTTAAAATCAGTGTGATGGTGATTGGAGAAGAGGAAGGTATGGAGTATGTTGTGCGTGGCTTGACAAAGACATGTATTTTTGATGATGATCATGTGCTATTTAATATTAGCGACATCATCCCTTATGCTAGTCTCCATGGAGACAAACCATTGTACAAGATAGGTGACAAAAAAGACACTCTAAAAATCACTGTTGTCATACGACCTGCCTTAATGGTGTGAATCTAGGTATAGGTTCATACTTTAATGCATGAAGATTTTCCAGTTGGATGCATTATAAAACTTCAATTTCAGCCTTCCTTGTGTCTTGGCAGTTTAACAGTGTTATTCTGATCAATAGCCCCATTCAACAGACACAGTTACTATAGTTTTTGTGTGTATTGGATTGCATGATAGAAAAAGCAATATAAATTAATACAGAAATATAGTTGGATATTGACTTTAACGTAAGGACGCTAAAGGGTTTTATGGTGCTCACTGATCTATATTCGGACTTATATAACTGAGAAACAAGTACTGCTTAAAATTGGAAGGAAGATAAAAATCATTTGTTATAAAATAGTACATACATAATGGTATTTACTGCTGGTATATATATCAGATAGTGAATTTTTCTCTTTCCACCTTCCCTTACTGGTATCTGCTCAACAGTTTTAAATCACATTTTCTGTATTTGGGTTTAAAAACATTTGGATTTCAATATTTTATGATCAGCTTTTAAAAAGGTTTTCTGGATTTGGGTTTAAATATTTCAATATTTCAATATTTCATGTTGAGCTACCAAAACATATTTGTAAACAAGATTTCCAAACGAAACTGAATTTTAATATGCTGAAACAGTAAGGATAACCATCTAATTAAATAAACTAAAAAGATTGAATGATCTGATTAACATTGTGAAGAATTGATATTCCAGATGAAATTAATTGACCAATGAGTCATTGAGACTTGATAAAGAAATCAAAATCCTTCTCCAGGACTGTTAGCTATAGCATGTTGATTGACATTATGATACAAGCATTGATAGATAGCAAGGGGAGGCAACTTGTTCATCAACATCATCTTTGACTGGTGATCACAGGAGGTAAAAAGTTAAATTCTAAAGTAATTTTTATTTTCAATAATGAAGATGATGCAGTAGTTCATTGATACATACAACTGTATATAATCATTGTTTGAAAATGTAACAAAAATTCACTGTGAATTTGCATATCAGAATCATTTCCCTTAGATCGAGATCTCTCCACCATACTCAAATAAATGAAAGAATTGTGTATCAATTCATTGTATTCTTTTTGTAACACTATCAGGCTTTAATATCCATTGATAGATCTAAAATGACAGGTGTTTCTTTCCACCCGTTCTTTTTGATGATATAGTGTTAACTTAGTTTTATACTTATATTCCGGATGACAAGTACATAATGCATGCTAAGATTTTACTTTTTATTAAATTTCTATGCATAAACAAAATCTTGGTTATATTTTTAACTGACCGTAATATTTTTTGCATATTCTTTATACATTATTTTTGCTTCACTTTAAATTTCCAAAAGAAGACTGACGGATTTAATTACAGAAATTTAAAATGCTTTCTTATATTGTGTTATTTATATAAATATGTACCTGCTTTGCTTACTGATTTGTTTGATATTGTTTTATTTTTTGTTAAAGTTTTCATATAGATAATAAGGATTGCATTGTTAATGAAGAGACTGGTAGAATATGCTGTACAGAATACTGCTATATATACCAGTTATGGTAACTGTGTTTTGCCTCAGATGATGTAGTCTCTGATATTCCCAATAAAAAAATGTTTCTGATATAATGTTGTGTTATCCATTAGGTACATGTATGATTTGTTTTTTTTTACACCAGGACTCGTGTGTGTTTCTTATGAACTTATCAACTTATGATAACTCACTAGCTTTCCCACTATTCAGTCACAGCATACGAAGTTGTCCAGCTATCCATTTACTTATAATTTCTTTTCTATATCCAGCTTCATGTATGTAATACATATCTAGTAATGTAGACATTTAAATCTCTACTTCAACAATGGATACAAAAACTGAGATTTTTGTTATGTCTAAATGGAAGATTAACTGATTTAAGAATGTTGGTGACTGAAGAAGAGTGAATAGCTGTCATCAGCTTAGACAATTTGTAGCTGACACAGGTTTTCTAGCCTTAACAAGTGTATGTGATTGTGCAAATGTTTCCGTAAACATATACAAGTACATAAAACAAAAAAGGTTATACAAATAATAGTTTATTATCTGATCCTGTAATACGCCATATACTGCATCACCATATACTACACAGCTTAATCATCTAGTGTATATGCATATTACAAAACTTCAAATACAAAAACTATAGATCTGGATTGGTGAAATATCTGTGAGGATATTCTAATCTACATCATCATATTAAATGTTATCACAGCAGTAGTTTTTATTTACATCACATGACAATGCTAATATTTAGATATCTCAACAACAGTTGTGTAAATCACAAGTAAAACCGGAGAAAAAGCATGGAAATAATTCCACATATAAAACTGTTTTCTGGGAAAAAAGTTGTGACAGATTACTTTATAAACCATTTAATTATTTCATGATAATCAACATGTGTTTCTTAAAGTTATACACCAAATACATGATATCATAGAGAGTTATCCCCCTTTACAAATATGTATGAAATTCAGCAGTTACTACAGTGTTGTCAATACATGTTAATTAACTCTAATATGAATCATCAATCACAGATTAAGATGGATCATTTTGAAGTAGTCCCATAAAATCAAAGGTATTTGCATGTACTGTAACTCAAAATACAGAAGAAAATTACACAGCAGTACCACACATATTTATTGTTAGATAGATCTGGAAATACATTCAGAGGACCTTTCTCATACTTAATCATCAAATCCAAATGTGATTAATAAAAATCTCCTAATGACCTTTACTTTATCATGTAACTTTTAATATGAAAGCTAACCTACTTTTACTTCTTAGTTGTAACTGAAGTCATTTGTACTAAGTGTTGGTCTAGCAGTCGCCATAGAGACCTGTTTATTGGGCCTTAGCTGTTAATCAAGAAAAAATACCTTGAATACCTTTATAATATCAATTGTGACATTTCAGATCCAGAAAAAGGATTTGGAAGGCAGACATTTGACCTGTAAATCACAACATTGATCAATACATTATGTACATATATCTTGACTGTACACGAGTTATTATATTGCATCTTGCCAGTCAAAGATGACTACAATTTATCTACTAAAATTTGCACATCAAAATTGCCATAAAATAAAAAATAAATGCCTTTTAGATATGATTTGACCCTACATAAATTTACATAGTTTACTAGTGTATTTTCTGCAGTCTGTGCCAGCAGACTTTCAGGTGCATCTATGTTAACAATATATAGATATTTAGGGTAAACAATTGTTGACTCATTCATGTTTAAGGAAATTATAGATGGACGGAAACTTTTAATTGCAAAAATATTAAATACATAACATTCTTTGTATCAAAAACATTGTTTTCATTGGTTGGTACACAAACTGTAATACTGATTATTCTGGAAAAACTGGACAAATGGGATTCCCACATCAATGCACACAACATTGGAGTCATGCAGTTCCAGCCTAGTATTAATTTTCTGACCCTCAGTAGGTCTAGAAAACATTGTGTATTTTCCAAATACGTATATAGGAAATATCAACTATCAGCAAGACAAAAGAATTTTGTTTTGCTAACATATTAGAGTCTGCTGCATTAGCAAAATAACTTATTGACATTTCCCAATACTTAACGTTGAATCTTTTCTTGTTAACATTTATAAGGTCAGCAGTACAATAATTTGACAAGAATCCTATTTCACTTTCGTACATTTGCCTGAAAACATCATAAGACCTAGAAATGAAGCCAGCTTTTTTTCTTTCTGTCTCAGTATTGTAAATACAATTATCAGAAGTCACAAGTACTAGATCGTGAAATCATCTAAACCAAGGAAAGCAAACCTACCTAGTATGTAACTTTGAACACTCATGCATCTACATTTATTGCATTCAATGTGGAGAGTATTGATATTGTAAGTATTCAGTGAAAAACAAACAAAATAAGTATTATAACAGAAGAATTGTACTATTGCAGCAACAACAATAATCACAGAAATGGCAGTTATACAAATATGCCTGTGTCAGATATGTATTTAATTACATTTAGCTGTGTCACCAAACGTGATAATATATGACATATGGATGGAGTCATGAATTAAAAAATTCTCATGTGAAAAAGTCGATCAACTGAGTCACAGTCACAGACACTAACTCTATTTTTTATGTAATACATAAATTTATCTACAACAAACCTTTGTAACCAGAACCTATATATCAATCAGACAAGAACCAAGAGATCTGGTGTGTACAGTGTGTTTGATCATGTAAACTTGTGCATTAGGAAATGAAGCATATTACCAAGAGAACATTTGGTTATCAAATACAGAATAACTGAAACAGACTTCAGCATTATCTAAAGTAAAATATCATAAATGTATTAATTACATGTGCATTTTTTTTTCTGAAAAACTCTTCAATGTAAACTTATGTTGAAAATGTCAAAGTAAAAACAATATCTCCTTAAATGAAATCACATTGCTAGATTAACTTAATAAATAATTAATACATGTATCTACAAATTATTGTAACATACAATAATTCATTAATCTGTCGCGATTGTCAGCATTGTCAATCAAATCAATGTGTACAACAAACTTGACTACCAATTAAACACACATGTGGCTCCATAATTTCAGATTTTTCTCTATATTTAAAGCCCTATGCAGTATTTTCACCTTCAAATCTGAGGTTTGAAAACATTTACATCTGAATTGCCAGTGTGAAGTTCTCTCACTTATTTGAGAGTGAAAATAAGGCTGGATTAAAAAAAAAAAAATTTTTATTCACCCTTAAAGAAATATAAATTTTATTTTATTTCAAGATCAGAGTTTCTGATATGGTTACCCATCTTCAAATAAAATTATTAGTATGACATGTTATACCTCTTTACCTACATATCCTTTGGTCATAGTTCCCTTACTAAAACCAGATATTTTTTATACATGTATGGTCTATAAAGTTTTAAGGAAATAAATATTGTTTCTTTGATAAATTTGACTAGTCATAACGCTAGGCCTATATTAATTGTAGTGTTTAAGAAAAAGTCAATGCAATTAGTCACTAACAGAAAATCTCAGGCAACAAAACTGTAAACTCACCTAGATAAATTGTTATTTAATAAATTTTGTTTGAAAAACCTTGTGCCTTTCATTTCTACTTTTACACCTGTGTTACCTTGATTTTTTTCTATTATCACAATGTACATTTTCACCTCTCATATTTAATTCTGTTTTCTAGAGGATGATTTAAATTTGTTTCTTCCAGTTGTACAATTATCTTTGTGACCAGCAGTTCAAGAGAATAAGACAGACTGTTTGGACATTTGTTTTTGTAGCGAGTGTTAGCTGGTCCCTTATTGGATGACACACGCCTTGCTGCCGTTACTTGTGTTCCCTCCTGCAGAAGTAGGTCGCTGCTGCCCGCCTCCTGTGGGCTTGTTGTTTGTAAGCTGCAGAGGGAAAGAAATTCAACATTTCAAGATGGATTAAAATGGGTTTTACAAAGAAAAATCAAATTTCAAAAAGTTCCTCAATGAAAATCACTACGATAAATTTTTCTTCAAATATTTCAATCTGAAATGAATTAATGCTCATTGATTTTTCAAAGCTGACTGACCATTCAAATTCTTTTTATTTACTTTATTTACTTTTAATATCTATTTGAAAATTTATATTTAGCAAAAGACATGCATTGTAAAATTGTGTACATATCAATGTTAATGTTTATTGTATAATGCAACATGCAAATACAACACATGGGTTATATATCAAAAATGCATATCAAATTACATGCTACATGAGATATCAAATTACTCAATGCAATTTAAAACTTACTGTATTATCATTCAAACTAAATCTAAACAGTTGAATTCTCACAATATTGGAGAAAATAAAAAGAAATAGACAATATTTAATACAGGTATGGAATGAAACAAAAGTTCAGAGGTGTAAAAATTGAGATCAGATTGGTGAAACATTGACATAATGAAAGCAACGGTAAACTTTTCATAAACAAGTACAATGTTTAAGGCAAGTTTACCTTTCTAATTATTGAGTACAAACATATCAAAGTATGGCAACATAATACAAAGTATAAACACATCAATTAACACAGACAAAATCTTATAATATACATGTAGTTATTTGTCAGGGTTGATATAGGCAATACAGACTACAGTGTATTGTACGTCAGGGTTTGTTTGGGTAATACTGACTACAGTGTATTGTATGTCATGGTTTGTTTGGGTAATACTGACTACAGTGTATTGTATGTCATGGTTTACTACTGACTACAGTGTGTTGTATGTCATGGTATGTTTGGGTAATACAGACTACAGTGTGTTGTATGTCATGGTATGTTTGGGTAATACTGACTACAGTGTGTTGTATGTCAGGGTTTGTTTGGGTAATACTGACTACAGTGTATTGTATGTCAGGGTTTGTTTGGGTAATACAGACTACAGTGTATTGTATGTCATGGTTTGTTTGGGTAATACTGACTACAGTGTGTTGTATGTCATGGTTTACTACTGACTACAGTGTGTTGTATGTCATGGTTTGTTTGGGTAATACTGACTACAGTGTATTGTATGTCATGGTTTACTACTGACTACAGTGTGTTGTATGTCATGGTTTGTTTGGGTAATACTGACTACAGTGTGTTGTATGTCATGGTTTGTTTGGGTAATACTGACATGGTTTACTACACTGTGTGTTGTATGTCATGGTTTGTTTGGGTAATACTGACTACAATGTGTTGTATGTCATGGTTTGTTTGGGTAATACTGACTACAGTGTGTTGTATGTCATGGTTTGTTTGGGTAATACTGACTACAGTGTATTGTATGTCATGGTTTACTACTGACTACAGTGTATTGTATGTCATGGTTTACTACTGACTACAGTGTGTTGTATGTCATGGTTTACTACTGACTACAGTGTATTGTATGTCATGGTTTACTACTGACTACAGTGTGTTGTATGTCATGGTTTACTACTGACTACAGTGTATTGTATGTCATGGTTTACAGTGTGTGTTGTATGTCATGGTTTACTACTGACTACAGTGTATTGTATGTCATGGTTTACTACTGACTACAGTGTGTTGTATGTCATGGTTTACTACTGACTAAAGTATGTTGTATGTCATGGTTTACTACTGACTACAGTGTGTTGTATGTCATGGTTTACTACTGACTACAGTGTATTGTATGTCAGGGTTTACTACAGACTACAGTGTGTTGTATGTCAGGGTTTACTACTGACTACAGTGTATTGTATGTCAGGGTTTACTACTGACTACAGTGTGTTGTATGTCATGGTTTACTACTGACTACAGTGTGTTGTATGTCATGGTTTACTACTGACTACAGTGTATTGTATGTCATGGTTTGTTTGGGTAATACTGACTACAGTGTATTGTATGTCATGGTTTGTTTGGATAATACTGACTACAGTGTGTTGTATGTCATGGTTTGTTTGGGTAATACTGACTACAGTGTGTTGTATGTCATGGTTTGTTTGGGTAATACTGACTACAGTGTATTGTATGTCAGGGTTTGTTTGGGTAATACTGACTACAGTGTGTTGTATGTCAGGGTTTGTTTGGGTAATACTGACTACAGTGTATTGTATGTCATGGTTTGTTTGGGTAATACTGACTACAGTGTGTTGTATGTCATGGTTTGTTTGGGTAATACTGACTACAGTGTGTTGTATGTCATGGTTTGTTTGGGTAATACTGACTACAGTGTATTGTATGTCACGGTTTGTTTGGGTAATACTGACTACAGTGTATTGTATGTCAGGGTTTGTTTGGGTAATACTGACTACAGTGTATTGTATGTCAGGGTTTGTTTGGGTAATACTGACTACAGTGTGTTGTATGTCATGGTTTGTTTGGGTAATACTGACTACAGTGTGTTGTATGTCATGGTTTGTTTGGGTAATACTGACTACAGTGTGTTGTATGTCATGGTTTGTTTGGGTAATACTGACTACAGTGTGTTGTATGTCATGGTTTGTTTGGGTAATACTGACTACAGTGTGTTGTATGTCAGGGTTTGTTTGGGTAATACTGACTACAGTGTGTTGTATGTCATGGTTTACTACTGACTACAGTGTGTTGTATGTCATGGTTTGTTTGGGTAATACTGACTACAGTGTATTGTATATCAGGGTTTGTTTGGGTAATACTGACTACAGTGTGTTGTATGTCATGGTTTACTACTGACTACAGTGTATTGTATGTCATGGTATGTTTGGGTAATACTGACTACAGTGTATTGTATGTCAGGGTTTACTGCTGACTACAGTGTATTGTATGTCATGGTTTACTACTGACTACAGTGTGTTGTATGTCATGGTTTGTTTGGGTAATACTGACTACAGTGTGTTGTATGTCATGGTTTGTTTGGGTAATACTGACTACAGTGTGTTGTATGTCATGGTTTTATACTGACTACAGTGTGTTGTATGTCATGGTTTACTACTGACTACAGTGTGTTGTATGTCATGGTTTTATACTGACTACAGTGTGTTGTATATCAGGGTTTACTACTGACTACAGTGTATTGTATGTCAGGGTTTGTTTGGGTAATACTGACTACAGTGTATTGTATGTCAGGGTTTGTTTGGGTAATACTGACTACAGTATATTGTATGTCATGGGTTGTCATGAATATTGGATAATATGTCACTAGTTTACATATACATTACAATTACAGCTACATTTGCAATATACCTTACAAACTCCCATGGAAGTACATATCAAATATATACCACAATAAGCCCATGCAGTATAAAAAAATACATTCTCATCTACTGCAGTTCTGTAATAAGCCCACTATATTCACTTTGTATCAAAATTGATGAATTATCTCCCTTGACTTACAGAATAGATATGCTACCAATATTTATTTATCAATATTACAAACTTTGATACTTTTTAGTATACAGTGTCCAGCTTTGCAGAGAGTTCCTTTCTTAGTCCTATTAATAAGTGTGCGTGTCCAATTCTATATATAATAAATGTTTTGAAAATGGGCTAATGGACTTCCTGAAAATGGAAACATTAGTAATGTTAATTTGAAAACATGATTTATATGAATACTAATTGTGTACATGATCAATTCACCACCAGGTAGGTCAGCTCTCAAAGTTTGATAAACAGGCATATTGTTTACTCTCACAAGCTTTGATTGGATGACCTAAACAGGCATACACATTTTGATTAGGATGACAAGTATTTGAAAAAGAAATTCCAATATTAGTAAATAAGATATTATATTTTCCTCCACTCTGTTTTGGATGACTGTGTTAGCCTTCCAAATCATATGTGGATGTCTTCAGTCAACCATACCAATATGTGCACACTTTTCCTTTTTCCCTTTCTAGAGCTAAGCTATACTAAGGCATTTATTCAAATTCTTAAGGAACTCAATTTCATGCATATTCTTCGCATTTTTTCCCTTTCTTTAATGGCAAATATGAAAAAGACAACATTTAAAGGATTATAAAATACAGGCATCAGAAGTCTTCTTCCAATGCAAAATTGAAGCAGACCATGGGGTATCTAAATATGTAGTGTCAAGAAACCTTTCTAAACATCATGCTGGAGGTCATTCCAGAGCTACAACACTGCACCAAGACCGATTTTCACTCATACTGGCTTGATACCACAAGTTCCAATCTGCCAAAGCTTTACAAATCTTTTAATGACTTCTGAACTGTTTCTGGTACCTTGTAACCATTTACTGTTAGAAGGCATCTTCATGAGGCTGGTTGAGAGCACAAAGACCAGCAATAGGAGTTTTTTTAACTGCCTATCATGTTAATGACTGCTTGAATAGAATGGCCCCAAGCTCACAGTACTTGAGAGTTTCATGAATAGGATTCAGATCTGTTTAAAGATGAGTTTAGATTCTGTTACCACAGACAGGTACTTTTGCATATGCAGCTAAGGAATAAGTTCCAGACAGGTAATATTGTGGACCATCAACCATACTGATGTCAAAAATGACCTCCACATATCTTCTAGAATACTCTAGAGCAAGAGATTCTTCAGTGAAAAGATTGGTCAGAAATGTTCACCCTAAGAACATATATGTACCAGGGTACAGCTTTGGTAGCCAAGTAGGACACTATCCCACAAAACTGTATATGAAGCCTTGTTCAGGGCATGAGCAGATGTTGTGCAGCTGTAATTGACGCTCATAGATTTTACTCTCAATACTAAATTTTTTTATTGTTCATTTAGGATCAGTTTTGTTCAATTGAAGTTTTTTTTGTAAATACCTTGGTGTTACTAATTCAAAGGGTAACCCCTTTCCTGTGGCTCACTTTCAGACTAGAATATATCCTTATGATTATGTAGCTTCATACACAGTATGTACTATAATAATCATATGCCTTTTTTTATTTGAAAATTCACAGGCAACACAGCGTTTGT